AATGTGTTGCTGCATTCTGATGTTGTAGAAGAAAACATTTATAAAAAAAAGTCTATTTAATTAAGTAGAACATGTTGTCTATATTTATTTAAAGTTGCTCATTTTGATGTGACGTCACATTTCTCACACCCCCCCCCCCCTCGTCACACATCGTTACAAATGTCTGACCCCCCCCCCCCAGGTGCGTGACGTAATTAATGGACGGCCCCCAAGTGCGTTCACACTTTGTACCACAGGCTTGATTTTCAATTTACACCACAGGAAAAAATAAAATTCAAGACAAACCTTGATGGTAACAAAGTCGTCTGGACAAATTTTTTCAATTTCGGCATCAAAGAGATCCACAGGGTGACAGCCTCGCCTGTTAAGTGACACAGCATGTTAAGTCCAAGTGAAACGCTCATCGCAATTGAACATTCCACGGTCGATTCGTTTGTTTTTTCAATCAAGTGCAGATTTACAAGAATCCAAACTAACATGAAATGTAATGTGACGAAAAGTAAAAATATAACTGGTGATTTTCTTTTTGCTTTCAAATATTACGAATGGAACAATCGAAGTGGTTTGCAAATTTGAACCAAAAATATATGCAACAATGAATGGTAAAAAGCTCAAAACAAGCCGTAAGACTGATTGTTTGGTTAATTATAGATTATAAAATGTACAACATTTGACTCACCAGTTTCTGAAACCTGCAATGAATTCCAACCCCAATAAATGTCCAGACACTGAGGTCATGACAACATTGACATTCTGCTGTGAAGCACAATGACAGAAATCACTCAAAAAATATATTTGTATTTAAAACTGTGCATTGTTTGAGATTGTAAACTCATATTATGTAAAAAAAATACATGTATAGTTTTATTTGAGTTATTCTAAAGATAAGTACAATTATTTCATTCGAGTGACAAAGTGAAACAACAACACTGTCCAGTTCTCTTGACGCAGCCCCTCCTCCACCCCACCAGTAATCCACAACGTTGTCGACCAGTTGCTCTTTGTGTGTGCTTCTTGGTGCAAATAATCGCATGTCATAAGCCACATCACTAATGCCATTGCCAAATAACATGCGAGAAACCACTGGTATACGGTACTTTGATCAGCAATATCTTCCACAGAGACTGTCAGGAGAAATAAGACGAGCGACTTCCTGCGTCCGGGAGATATTATTGCACAATTAGGGTTCAAGTCGCTTGTGTTTTTCAACATTTTGTTGATTAACATTCGGCGTTTTTTCGATTTAAAGCTTTCGTGACTGCAGAGATTCATCTTCTTGGTTCTTTCGGTAAAGTCACATAGAATGGATATAATAAAATAATAAAAATAAAACATAATAAAATAATTCTCACGTTTTGAACAGGTCATCTGAGGGCGGCTGCTTGCGTTGTGGCCGAAACGTCGTAAGAATTATTTTATTATGTTTTATTTTTATTATTTCCATTCTACGTGACTTTACCGAAATAACCAAGAAGAAGAATTCGGCGTTGTATTTAATAAGCACTCGTCATTCATGACACGATTTAAGGAGTCACCACACTGCCGGCAAATATCATCACACGCGATACAAGGAGAGTTACCACTCTTGTCCGTGAATTTCATTACCCTACAAGGTCATACCATACAATAATTCGAGATAGTTTTTAAAAGTCTGATTAATTCAACCACGAACCTACATAAACGGCTCACCACCGAGAGGCAGGTTCGCTCATGGCTGAGAAGTTTTTAATTTCATATATTTCATACCTGTCAAACCCATATACGGTTTAGCCGTATTCTTGTCCAGGGAAATTGAGTTTGCAGGTCCATACGGCGTACAGCTGGGGGAAAACATTAGTGTCTATTTGTTTGTGTTTCTCCCTTGTGATGGAACTTTGTAGGATGAACGTTGAGATGTATAAGGGGCACGGGGTGACCAATAATGTCTGAATTGGTCTGTAACAAGGTAGGGCACTGATAAGGGGTTGACAGGTATGTATATTTTCCACTTCAAATAAAGTTATATTGAAAATAAGGAGCATCACTGGAACTGCCCCACGGTTTGGTCCGCCTTGTTAGATATAGTACAGTATTATATTACTTATAGATGAAAAATCGCACCATAATTTGTCTCAGGATAGTGACACTTTAATATTAATACAAACACTTACCTGTCCACTAAATGAGTAGTTGTACTCGTATATCTTGTTGAACTTCGACAGGCCTTCCCTCTGAAAGGAAGAGAGTCGTAGAATCTGTATAAACATTGAGTCAACTTTATTTCACCAAGCAGGTCACCCCATCTCATTGGCGAGGGGAAAAAAAAACAAATGTAAAAACAATTTCACATCCCCCACGGAAGGGGGCAGTATTTTCGCTTTTAACTAATCAGCTGAACTTGTAGGCGATTCTTACCGACGCCAAGACTGCCGGCACAGTCCAGCCAGTAGGCTATGTTAGACCAAGTGTGTGCAATGTTCTCCCTACCACGGGATAAATAACTTTTTTGGTGCGCAGCTACCCACGAACACATGGACATTTCAAGTTACTTAGCAGGCCGCGCGCGGTGTGTGACCCGAGCACAACAACAACAGCAGCATGTTGCTGTGGTGCGTTTGGTCAATCTCGCTCTCGAGTTTGTTGCAGAGAGACATGCAAGTTCACCCACCCGCGTGAACCCGCCGCGGGACATGATGTCGGCGATGCCTTTGGCCGCGTCGTTCTTCTCGGCCACGCACAGCGCCCGCTTCACGCCGCGCTCCAGCCCGCCCGCCGGGACGTGCCCTGGCGCCCTGCCCGCCCGTGAGGCCATGAGGCAGCGTGCCCAGCAGCGGCCGTGGCCTCCTCCTCCTCGTCGTCGTCGTCGTCCTTCACGGCCAAGCAACAGCAGCAGCGGCGACGGCGACGACGGCGCGACCCGCGCTATAACGAGGCCCAGCATCCACACTGGCAACTCACAGCGCGATATAGGAATCGACCCGATGCGATTCCGTTACGCACGCGATTCCACGGCTCGATTACCACGTTGGTGCAAATGAATGAATCGTTGGAAATAAGGAATCGACGGTTCGATTTTTGTGCGGAGTGTCGACGGAATCGATTCTATGTAAACTACATTTCGAAGTCGGACGAATTGGCGGGAGATCCTTCGCGGCTATGAAAGTGTCCGGCTAACTTCAAATAATCATTATAATCCGCAATTGCTGAAGTGTAAGAGCATTTTCACAGAACGCAGTGTATTCATGTTAGCTGTGCGTGTGCAGGAATGCAGGATTCCAATGCAGAAAGAGTTGCAAGCTATTTTTTTTTTACTTAAGTAGCTTTCAGTGAAGCGGTGACTCTAACAAAGTAACTAGAAAAATCTCGATACATTAGTCAGTTACATTGTGGCCTTGTAAAGAAAATATATAAGCGATGTGTCGAACAATCGCCCTTCAAATTAAGTACGACATTTAATAAGCGTTCTAGCTTGCATCCATTGTAACAAGTGTGCTGTGGATTTCACACCTGATGATGATTGCTTGTGTTGCAGTCGAAACGTCGTGAGAATTTGTATTGTTTTATATTTATTATTTTATTATTTCCCTTCTACGTGAATTTACCGAAAGAACTAAGAATATGAATTCCTGCAGTCACGAAAGCTTTAAATCAAAATTTAAGTGTAGTGACATAGAATCGGTCACGTGGCAGCATAGCGCCGGCTGCTGGCAGGGAAGGGGATCTGCAGCTACAGCAGCCCTGACTGACAGCAGGCCACGTGATAGCCCAGGGAGGGATGTAGGGGAAAGGTCACGGAAGGGTCACGTCGAGAACCCGTTGGTAGGTTCCAGAAGGAGGCGTGGCTGTGGGCGGAGCCAGGCCACGCTGGCAGTATAAGAGGGGCCACGGGAGGGGACCTCGGGGCTGTCGTTTGGAGTGGGATCTCCGTCGTTGTTGCTGCTGGAGTCTTCATTATCGTCTCCGTCTTCACCGTCGTTAGTCAGGCAGTCTACCAGCTGTCCTGACTGGGAGCCGTAGTTACTAAGTGTTACTGTCAGGCCCTGTTAATAAACAGAGTGCCTCCTATTCTTAGTGTTTCTGAGTCAGTCACTACACTAGTGTGAGATACAAATGACAGGATGTTAAGTGAACTGCAGCTTTATATATTTTAATCAATCTACATTTGTACCGTACATGAAATCACAATTACGACGTGCATAATGTAACGTGAAATATAATTACGGAGTAAAGAAAAAAAGTGTCGCGTTAATCGTGAAACGAACCCCTGTACGGGCAGCCCTCAACTTACGTACGGGTTCCATTCCCGAGCCCTGTTCATAAGTCAGAACACAATCATGAAATGTACTGAGGGGGGGGGGGGCATCCCTCGAGCCGTGGGGATCCCTGGCTGTCGTGGCTGGGAGAGAACGCGACACAAGCGCATCTTACTGGCGGGGTAGCGCACCACCAGCGGCAACACGCGAGTTAACAACAAATACATTGGAAAAATTGTGTCGAAGACCCCACACTTGACCCGAGCTGCCCATCGTCTTACCCTTGTGGCCCTTCTGTCGTGATGTACCCATTTCGACTGCTGAGTGGACACATATTGTGGCGATTTGAGAAAGGCACCCTTCTATTCACACCGATGCAACCAATTAAACACAGTGCCTTTCACGACCATTAGGAAAGGGTGCTATATAAATCCTAAAAATAGAATGACACCGATGGCTAATTGGCACGTTTTGTTCACGTGACAAACCGTAATGATTGGCTGTGTCGGGTGGTGGTGGGCGTACGACACATTTATGTTTATGCGATCTAACCCAGACGCAACAATTACACTACCGCAGCTCCCCGAGTGGCGTGAGTAATATAGGACATAAAATGGTTACTTCGTTCCATCTCCACATATAAATACAGCGTATTTGATCAGTCCATCCACCTATTGGCTTTCCAGACCAATGGTATCGAGCAGGGTTTGTTTAAGCGTGGAAACTCTCGCACGGTTTCACCTTCTGTCTCATCAGTAGACTCTAGCCTCTAAAAATATTTGTGCTTGTGCACCACTGTCAATGGAGTATCACAAAATAATGTATGTATTAGCGCAATCGTATCGATGTTTACCTTAAAGTGAATCAGGTTTAACACCTGCAGTAACGCGACATCACACTGAGGCTTTGCTGCAGTTCACAGGTGAATCAATGAGATGTGACGCTTCAATACATTTAATATAAATACACTACACACCCTCCAAGATATAAACAAAACAGTGAGGAGCGTAATGCATACATTTAACCCATAAATTATGTTAAATGTAATGCAATTCAGGGCCTGTCACACACAGATCAATCACTTGCGCAAGTCCAAAAATGGTTAACGCTCATGAGCAATTATTTCATTGGGTTCTCAACGAATTATAATAGCTAACCCTCCATAAATGAGACAAAGTGAAGAGCAATGTAAATTATTGCTGCACTAAAAATAAAAGTAGATTCGTTTCAAAAGCAATGCGTTTGTTTACTTCTTGACATTTCTCCAAACATTATGCATTCATAGATAATGCCATAAACGAATACTATATTTTTGCATGGTGTTTGTATCCAGCCATGAAAATCATGCACACAATGCAGACAACGATCATTATTTTCATCAAACTACAATGCATTTATTTTTTAGACGTGTAAAATCCGATTAAATGAAACTTATTTTACATTACCAAAAAAACGTATCAACCAAAGTGTACCCTATGTCAAAATAAAACTCGGCTCAACAAATCAGGTTAAGTTTTGCAGACATTATTTATAACGTAATTCTGTATTGTTTATTGCCAACTTGTAATATCCTTGCTAGAACAGCCAATCAGTGCTCATGTTGTTACGACTCGGTGCAATTACATGAGCACTCTTGCCATGACAGATTTGTAACGAGTATAAACCTCATCAAGCATTAATCAGAACAACTGATATCCGGAACAGGAAATGCAATGTCTAAGATAGTAATGATTCAGAAAAGCTTAAAAATAACACAATACACTTCAAGTCAGCTGATAACAACATTAAGTTCTTTGTACAATATTATAATTACAGTGGATGGTAAAGTGTCGTGTTGTTTGCTGTATTTTTTTACGTACAGAAATACACCATCTAAAGACAAATATTCTCGTTTGATCTTACATAGCATTTAGCAGTTACAATATAAATGAGTGACCTGTTTTGGAATTTTCCCAAAAGATAGTGGTATTCAAGCCATGTTCTGCGATGGTTGTCAATACAACAGACACAACACTTGTTTTGTACTGAATTTAACATTTTTTGTTTTCCTGAAGGTATTAATTGTAATTGAATTATTGTAAATGCTTGCAAAGTTTTTAAACGGGGGTGATTGTGAATGAATGTGAGTCTTCAATGCGTGAATGCACGTTTGGTGGCAATTTTAAATGGTGAATTGCTAAATCTGTGGTATAGTTTAACAGATGCAGGGTGTCCGGATATTTTTAGCCTTAAGATTTGTAACATGGGAGAACACAGCCAAGATAATTCAGTTAACACTGAGAAGCTGCTGACAAAAAAAACAGAAGGTAATCCAGGTGAAAATACAATTTATAGCATCACATCTTGAAAGTCTGATAATTGGTTCTTTACCCTTCTATCTGGCAACAAAACTGACACCTTTTTTGTTGCCAGATAGAAGGGTAAAGAACCAATTATCATATTTTTACTGGCAAATGAGGTCCCCATAATCTTGAAAGTCATTTACAAAAAAACATTTGGTGTCGTGATTTAACAGAGAAGTCAAAATAAACACATCACAAAATACGAAAACATGACTTGCTTTTCAGAATAGTCTTATGAATGATGATTCATTTATTAAAAGTCATTTTCCTTGTTTTGCTATTGACTGCTCCACACCATAAGCTGTACAGGCACCGAGGTTGCATGCATTGGGCCTTCTAGCCCAAACAACAGGTTTGAAGTATTATTGAGAAAAGTGCACTTTCCAAGTGGAATCCTAAGGCTTGTGGATGCCACCATCTTTCACTTGCCAGGACCTCACCACACAGGTGAGGTTTTTGGTTTATGTAAATGATAAAAAGTCAACTTTTCAATATGGTTACAAACTTGGCCTCGCTATTATTGTACTCTCCTGCAAATTAATCGATCTTTCCAAACTTAACCAAAAATTATAGACACCCTGAACGAAATACCAGCACTTGCTCCATTTCCACTTTTATTATGCACCTTCAAGTAGTATGGGCAGTTGCAATATAGCCGCTTTTATTCCAGAAAATGTATTTCTTTTTATGCCACAGAGCAAGAATGGGCATTCTAACGACATACAATACAAACAAAATAATACACAGTTGTTTTTGAATTGTCACTTTAGGAGCAAAGTTACAACAACTATTTTCTGGCTTTCATTTACTCACAAAAAATGTTCCACAAATGTAAAAATTGAAGTACCACATTCATTATGTTGATCATTTAAACGATGTATAACTGCTGTCAAAGATTGTATCATCATCATTATTATTATTATTTGTTTTACTCATGGTCCTTTCACATCAGAAGCCGGCCCTTGGAAAGCAATGGGTCCATGGCAGGCTGGGTCACAGTAGCCTGGAGATCCTGGAGGTCCTGGAGAACCAGGTCGTCCCTGTCGGCCGGAGGGTCCAGGGAGGCCCTTGGGGCCATCCAAACCATCGCGGCCATAGCTGGGAGAGCCTTCTCTGCCTGCAACACGCGATGGGATGATGGAGAGGGGATGTGGTAATCAACAAACTGAAAAGAAAATTGCTGTGTACGGATCAAGTACGATACTGTGCATATAAAGGTGCAGCCCTGAAAGTTCTCCCTCTATTTGGCAAATTAGGACCGTGACGCTAACACACAATGGTCTGATCTTGTGAGTAACGTCACAGGATCTATAATGTCCACAGTAAATCAGACGGCGTGCATTTTTGGGGTTACTAAAACAACCACATTATTCATCAGGGCGGCCACTGAATTTGAACCGTGAACCTATGCAACGAGTGGTGAACATGCTACGGTCGCCACCCTTGGTACAATTAAAAAGGCACAGAGTAGCAGCAGCAGCTCATGGAGAGTTAATCTGAGCAGCCGACTCGATTCCATCCTGAGGTTTTTTGTCTTAGAAAAAGAGGAGGAGGTTTCTGTGTAGCGTTCGTACCTGGTAGTCCGATATTTCCAAGGAGACCTTTCGGCCCATAACCTTCATCACCTTGGTTTCCCTTTTCTCCATGAATTCCTGCAGAAGCAAACAGCAGATATCTCATAACACGTTTAACCAAAACCTCCAAAAATAATTTTTGTTCCAGATGTGCGAGTGAAATAACATTGCATCTTGTAAACCTGCTGGGACAATTTGCACATGCTGACATTGGGAATGCGTGAGGCTGTAATGAACATATTTAATGTAACAAAAAGGCTTTACCCTTTCTGGCATCAATACAGACATTAAGATGTTCAATATCTTGATATTGCCAAACGGATCCCATAGATATAACTGATTAATTATGTCATGAACAGCTATAGTAGAGTGTGAAGAGATACATTTCCCTTATATAAAGGTACAAGTTGGCATAAATCAACATAACATTATTTCGAAGAGATTAGATAGTGTATTTGTGCCTTTAAGAATGAGAGAACACTTTAATTATTGTCTTGTGAAAACATCTTATCCTGCCAGGCAATGGTAGGATCAGAATGTCTAACAACCTCGATGATGTGGTTAGCACCACAAACAGGACACAAATAAGCTTCCGATTCCAACTATAACTTCGTATAACCTAGTACTGTACACCTTACTCGCCAAGTGTCGCCGCAGTCCTACCGGGGTTGACTGGTGGTTGCCATGAGATACCTCGGAGGCCTAGCTCACAGTATCCAGTGGCAAGGTTCATCCTGCATGCTGCCATTTAGTAAATCTTTACAGCTGAATATTGTACATTTTTCTGCATGACTTACAGATGCCCACTAATATTTCGGATTCTCTGCGTATGTACATGAAGATCAGTGCAAGTCATTTCCTCGTGAGGCGTGGTCTTGAATGCAATAAATCGTAGGAGGATTTAAAAAAATATGCATTATATATAACAAAGAACGAACCTCTGGCTCCTTTGTTTCCAATGGGGCCCTGAGAGCCCTCAAGCCCGGGCAGGCCACGGATACCTTCGTGACCCATGACACCATTGGGGCCTGGTAGTCCTTGGGGCCCCGGTAGCCCAGGAGGGCCCATAACCCCCATGGCTCCGGGATCACGGCGAGGTATGCCAGAAGCCAGCTGGGCAAGTTGTTCTGAAAGATACACGTTTCAAAATAGTTTAGTTTTATTTTGTATATATATATTTTAAGTGATTTGATTACCTTTCCTATATGTTGCACTCCGATTGTGTTTTTGTATAGTTTTGTTGCTGTTACGTTCTGACCCCGTGCCCATACTGGACATCTGTGCAAAAATAACTTTATAGCTCATCTGATTCCTCCAGTAAAAATACATATTCTGATTCTGAAGTCCTTTTTTTATCTCCACCTTTGACTGTTTCCTTCTATGTAAATTTATTTGTGCTTGGGCAGAACACGTCACTAGAATAGATGATGGCAGATGGTCAAGGATAGTAACCAAATGGCAGCCAAGAAAGTCTTCTTTTCCCAGTCTCCTCTTGTCCATAAATGCCCTCTTTTATCTTACAATTTAAATGACTCCTTTTCCAATTGATCTAATGTTACTAATGTATTCCTGTGTGTACAACATCTTAGGATACATTTCTACTTGGACTTTTATAAATGTAAGTTGTATTGTCATGTACTTCAATCAGGGATTGTAGACATGTGTAACCTAATTCCATGATGTATTTGTCAAGGGGTTGTTTGACCACTTTTCACCTGGCCGGCCAGTGAGGGTTGGTGAAGGCTTCGGGGGTGCTCAGGGCTGGTTCAGATATCACTCCCCACTGATGTGGGCTGCAGCTGGGAATTGAACTCAGGTGACCAGCTTTATTGTACGTGCGTATTGTACCAATCACTGCGCCGCCACTCCGCCCCGTGTTATAGTTACGTGTGGTTCAAATTATCTGACTGAATGGTGCTTTGGAGACTACCTAAAAATGTACGTGAAATACAAATAAATAGTTCTTAAATTTGTAAACATCATTAAAGAGAAGTGAGACTTTCCATTTTTCAGAGTTTGTATATGTAACCGGTGGCTGCTTTATTTCACCGGATTGATAATGTACTCTATAGAGCCACGTATACCAACCTTGCATCACCCTCATGCACACGTCCTGTATGTGTTCATTTGTTGCCTCCTTTCCCTGCGATAGAAAGAGAGGTGAGTTTCTCCCCGCGCGGTGCGCAGAGCAACCGTAATTAACAAGTCGTAACGATCGTGGCGGGAGCGACGGGAAGTGCGGCGAGTGGCGCTCAGTGTTCTTACAGGCTCGCCCTCCTTCCCCGTGCTCCCCGGCAGCCCCGTCTCGCCCTGCTGGCCCAGCGGGCCCGGGAGCCCCAAGGCCCCCTCCTTGCCCACTTCTCCACGGGGGCCCTCGCCGCCGCGGTCCCCGGTTTTTCCCGCAGGTCCCGTCTGTCCAAGCACAAACGATGCGTCGGGCGATTATTTTTTTGTCGTGTTTTTTGCAAGGGCGTTTTAATTCGAGGGGGGGGGGGGGGGGGCAAACGTGCCGTTAAAAACGTTCACCGAGATGAAAAAAATGAAGACATTGCGCGTTATGCGTTAGATTAATGCCTGACATGAAGACGGACACGTTTACTTTGGGCTGAAAATATTTCTGTTGCATGGTTGGTGTCCCGTTATCCGTCATTGTCAAGAGACGAATAATGTCACATGTAACGACATATGCAAATACAAAGAATTCCAAAAGGATCACGTAAATGAATGGTCCATATACAGCACCGCATTGCTTATGTGGCAAGGCATTTTATGGCCAAAAATATTTCAGGCGTGGTGGCCTGCTCACTTCATATCCTCAACGTATGAAGACAGCTTATCATACACAATGAGTTTGGATGACCACAATAATTTACATGGCCCCAAATGCTTATTCATAGTCAACAATGCATTGGCATTGTAATTCATATTCATTTGTCTTTCACCAACTCATGTAGAAAGTATCTACGTGATCAATGGTAGAAAAGCCTTTCCTAAAACCTGCAGTCTGATGATGAAATATGACAGTGGCATAATTGTAAATACAATTTTTAAATGCATGAGATGCAATCATCAATAACTCACATCTCCTTTGGGGCCTGATTCACCTTGAGGCCCCTGTGAGAGAACAAAATACACACGTTTAAATATGTAGGAATAAAAATAATCCAAATCAAAATTTGTGAACTGATATGAATACAATTTAAAAATAATGTAAGAGCACAGATCGGAGGGTACAATTCACGCGTGAGCAGAGAGACATCGAAGCCTGACCCCCAGTGCTCCGTCTTGGTTGGACCGAGAGCAAAAGGGCACAAAGTGCTTCCTCTACCCAGCACGCGACTCGCGCCCAAAGTGTCCCAAAGTGCAACCGGTGTCCCCGAGCCGCTCGTGTAAGTTTCACATTCCCACCACGGGGCCCAGTCTCCGCGTGGAACGGGCAACTCTCGACTTCCCCCAGAGTGGCACTGATTCTATCGCCTTCAGTGGGGTGATGGAGCGGGATGCCCCTTGACCGCAACTATGAGTGGGAGATCTCTAACCAACCCGCCTGGGGAGCGTGGCACAGGATGACATTTTGTTGTTGCGCCTGTTTGCGTTTTGCTCTGACAACAATGAACTTACTAATAGGGTTTTTCCCCTTTTTTTCTGGCAACAAAACTGACACCCTTTGCAAGGAATCTTGTTAACATTAACCACAATACTTGCAGTCAAATGCAAACAAAAACAATACTCTGATAATTTATGCATTGTCCTTGAAACTGATTGGTCCACACCAGCGACAGCTTTTCTTAGAGCCTAGTCTCATATGGTGTTCGACCAGATGACACCAAAAGGCGCACAGTTCAAAGACAACACACTATCAGAATAATGAGCGCTCGGGGTAAGCATTTACACACGAAACAATTAACTTGTTCATTTATGCTGCACGTATACATTCAGTTTAACGCGTCGTACGAGAAAATTTACCTTTCGCCAAGAGCAACTGTTACCGTACGTAGCATTTTAACTGTTGCATGAAAAAGGTATCTTACCACATCACCGTTGATTCCTTCATAACCATCAATCCCTGGAATACCCTAGAGAGAGAAAAGACATTTCCAGTGAATAGTACGATATTGCAGGGAATACTCATTAAACATGTACCTCTCAATTATAATGCACAATTAACATTTTAAACATCTTACGTTGCATATACATATTGTGTACATTTTCCCCATCAAGAGGTAGCGCTCCTGATTTAAGCGGGCTATCTGATCCTTATGGCGGTACGGGGCCATCCATTTAGTACGTACGCATGGAGGGGGGAGGGGGGGTTAACCCATATGCGTACGCTTGTGTATGGGGGGTCTATTGAAAATGTACGTACACATAGGAAACGGGGGGGGGGGGGGTGAAGCCTCGATAATAATTTGTCTACATTGGCCTTCAAATGAGTTAGATAGTCCGGCGGTGGACTATCTGTTTGCTTAAACACGTTCATATTATTAATCTTTGATCGTTTCTGCGTGGATTAAATATCCGCCGTTCTATAGGATTCAGGGGGGGGGATTGCGTCAAGCGAACATACGCAAGGTAGGGGGGGGGGTGTAAAAAGTACGCGTGCGTACAGGGAGGGGGGAGGGTTCAAGTTTTGGCAGATTTTTGTGTCCGTACTAAACGGATGGCCCCTACCCCCAGGGTGCCAAATAATACATAATGAACGAGGCAATTTAATATTTTATTTCTGGGACACTTTTTCCCAGGGGTGTACTTCACTCCGCGACTGGGGTACCAATCAATCCGAAATCAGTGCCACTCCGCGATGTCGAAACGCAGCGAGGACGATTGCGCCGAAACCCTGAACGCTCGCGGTACGCACCGCCGTGGTGCATCGTGTACAGCTCGTCGAGACGAGTCGATTGCCGCATCGCCGACCATCAACAGACTAAACATGACTGCATCACGGACATTATGCGAGAGCCGGGGTACTATGGTACCGCCATAAGGTTCATCTGTTATACACACTCGTAAAAGGTCACCATTGTACACCACTCTACAAGACAGTTCATCATTGTCTTACCCATGGATAAATCATTTAATGATGATACCCATGAAATATTTTTTTATAACTTTGAATACTAAAAGATGTTATCTGAGGGGAGTAGTGACGCAATAATATTAAATTCATGCTATTGGCATCGCATTAATGTGGTCTTTATTGCTGTGCAATGTGTTGACTCTTCATGTTCGGGGACAAGCATCACTCATTCTAGTCGAACAAAAACCACCAACTGCGTGAAAGTGAAGTGAACCCCCTTAAAGATTCAATATGCGAAGCGAATAAACCAAGACAGTGATTCGAGGCCGCTCCACTCGGATGGGGAGGGGGGGGTAGTGGATTCACCCCTGAGGAGGGCAAGTGATTTGTTTTCCTTTCCAATGCTTTGCACTCCTATCGTGTTTATTTGTACTTTTTGATATTGTAACGTTCTGACCCGGCCCTGCTGGACATGTGAAAAGAAGCGTTATAGCTCATCGGATTCCTCCTCCGTTATAAATAAATATTCTGATTCTGAAACCTGGGTGGTGTCAAGGGGGGGGGGGCATTTGGTGGTGCAGGGCCCAGTCCATCAACCGACTCACAGCGGCCCTGCAGTCAAATATCCTGTGACATGTGCACGCTTTCACGGGATATTATAAACATGCTTTATATATATATATAAAACACAATGCACTTACAGCGGCTCCCTTTTCTCCAACTATTCCCGTTAAGCCCTGTAAAAATAAAAACAATACAATCGTTAATATGTGGAAAATGTGACACTTAAAAAGTTGAATTATGTTACTAATCATGGTTTAAACATGTGAATTAATCCCTGATGATAAAATACGAAGTATCCGATATTGCCAAGGCCAGATAAACTAGCACATGAACAAACAACATTATTATTGTTTTCAATATGTTGAAGCAGAGGCTTTTGCAATGTTTAAATTGGTACATGTTCATGAATACAGGTGTAATTCAGGCTGATTTGTAACTACTTTATCAAGAACATGAATCACATTGATATGCATGTTGAACTTTTTTCCCACCGAATGTAGCCAACCGTCATAACCGGAGGTGTTAAGGCAGTAACACGATTCAGTAAACGACCTCAAATTGGAAGTTGTGGTGGGAGTTTTTATTCCGAATTCTCTAGATTACGGAGTGCACTTTGTTCCCTTCTGTAGTGCATTATTCAATACGGAACACGCAAACAAAAACAATATTGCACAGCATCGTATTGCAGCGATAAAATGATGCATTGTGACGTATCAACACAGATTAAAATCCAAACAGCTCTTGGGTCCCCCCTCCTGTTGTCAAACATTGCCTCTCATTCAAGGAGCTATCACAGTCTTTTTGACAGTGAACTCCCGTGCCACAAGCTGTTTTTCCCCCACCTTTTCTCCTTTAATTCCAGGCAGTCCTGATGTCCCGGGAAGACCTTGGAAGCCAGGATTACCTTTTGAACCCTAAAAAAAATTAAGAAGCATTAAAAAAGGCAAAGGTGCAGCCCTGCAATGTGTTGTTCATGTCACCTCTTTGAGAAGGGCCAAGAGAGTGGGAGGAAGCTCTAGAGAGCCCCTCTTCTAGAGGTTATGTTGGGGGCCTCCTCTTCCAGAAGACAGTTTAGCAGACTAAGAATGCTACAAGGCAGAGAGGCAAAGAAGCTGACAGTATGGTAAGACACAACTCACAGAGAGTGAGCAGAGAGAGGCAGTCAGCCATAGGCAGAAGAAAAGAGGAAAATCTCAAGCCTGGACTTAAACAGAGGAAGGAATCAGCAGTGCAGGTTGAGTCAGGGTGGGAATTCCAGACCGTGGGGCCAGCAGAAAAAAGGAGCGACCTTCCGAGCGCACATCGTCTTGATTATTAATATTTGAACCAATGAAAATCAAAGTGGCACACACCGGCACCACTCTTAACATTTGAACTATTGATTCGTTTTAAAATGATTTGTTGGAAGTTCGGTGCCACATCAGAAGGATCACGGCCAGAATTATGGTAATCTAATCATCATTATCATTATCATATATGATGGCATCGGGGTTGTGTCCCTTCTCAACTCCACTTTCCACACCTCCGCCTCTGGGACTACTTTCAGTGGATTCCAGAAACATTCCAAAGATCACAATTTTCTGCAAGGGGTCAGCAGGCAACAATCACCCATTAGGGAACTGTTGAAATTGTCTAATATTGCAGTGTTGAATACTGTAGCTCTGCAAACTCAAACGTGCCCGACTTCATCACCGCTTTATCATTTACGTAGTACACATTGAGGACACACAGAAAATCAAGCGTCTTTACCGGAAATAGCTAAAATACTGTAAAATCAGGTTTACAATATACCTTGCATGAACATATTCTTACGTGTGAACAGCAAACGCAATTGATCAAATGTAAATTCTACTTATCAGTAAAACACTTTGTACTCACCACTATTCCATGTACTCCGATATGACCTCTCATACCACGCTTCCCTGCAACACCCTTTTAAAGTAAACGCAGCGGCATTAACACCACAACTATGGCGATGTCACAACAAATACAACCGTGCACACAAAACATGCACATTTGGTGTAACTATTCATCCTGGAGCGTTCAACCCTGACTTTGGATTAGGTTATGGATAAACGTGATTGGGTTCCTCGACAGATGATTGGTTTGACAACATCACCCCGGGGTTCATGCATGGTAGCTGAATGAGTGGCAATGCATTACATTTCACTCCTATCGACGGTACAGGCAAACCCTTCATTCCAGACAAAATCCAGTCCACAATTATTGCAATGTGTTACTTACAAGATGGAATTCTGAATATCCCACTTTGCAATGTTATTAAGTACAGAAACAAATAACTCGAATTATGTTAAATCAAAACATAATAAATCATAAAGCAACTTAATAATGAATAAAACTCTACAAAGACACTCACGCTTACAGACTCCTCACTCATCCACAGCTCATGGGCTCAGCTGGTTCATTCAACTGGCACTTGCTCAGCCCATGACCACGTTTCAAGACTCAGTGCATTTACTCGCTCGCTGACTCACCCACTTGTTCACTTAACTCACATGTCCATGACCACACTCATTAATTAAACTATAATAGCACTTTTATATATATAAAAAATATATAAAATGTTCAAACGTACCGGTGGTCCATCTGATCCCATAAGTCCACCTTTTCCGGGAGGTCCTTTGTCCCCCTGACGAGCGACATGGCACCCGTGAGTGTCATCCCACTCATCATCGCATCCAGCACCCGTGTCACCCCACTCATCACACCCAGCCCGCGTTAACAGAGCAGGCGATTTCTCACATTCACCGTGTCTCGTACGATAATGGAGATTTGAACAAGTACAAACTTACGGAAAACAAATCTCTCTGCTCACAAGTATCCACCGCAAATATGGGAATGGCTCTGACCTTTGGGCTTTTTGAGTGAACTTTGAAAGAGCAATGCAATTGGTCAATCAACAGGCAGAAAAGTTGAGGTGGGGGGAGGGGGTCATTTTTTATTAAATCACCACCCATCAAACCTTACCATTGCAGTGTTAATACTAACGCGATCCGGGGGTAGAAATAGCCAAGGAATCCCAGGTTATTGTTAAATATGACGTCACGGACTAAAGGAAAGAGAAGGCGGGGTGTGAGAGAGAGGGAACACCCAGGGGGGGAGGGAAGTGGTGACGTCACAGGAGGAGGCGGGGCGATCGGGGCGCTTCCTGGTGAGATTTGGAGTGGAGTGGTCGCACGAGGCCGTGAGCTCGTGTGGGAAAATAAAGAATTGCGTCGTCTCAACCTTCATCTGGTGGACCCCACAATTCACAAACTCTTACATTATTAACAGTGGCGACGATTTAGAAGGAGCGCGGTCCTCTGTGCATGCTGCCGATGTATCGCCTGTTCCCTTTGTTAATGGTGTAAGATCTTAGAGTAAATGACCTCAAATTGAAAGCTGTGGTGGGCAGAGATATATAGTGTAGATGCCCACAATTGGCAGATCAGCATCTGATCCACTCTGCCATAGAAGCTGTAGATACGAGGTGGCTTAACTCTGCTCACCTTGTCAAGGCAGAGTAGACATTCAAGTCTAGATCTATTATAAATCTGGACCAGTCATCTACCAGATTTCTACACGGGCAGTTGAGGCCATAAACCACCACCTGGACCAAAGATGGATTTACACATTGATCACCGGAGCATGTGGGCCACCCTGTTGAGGGCGAGTGCATCGGCCTCATCACCCCTCCTCTTCCACACCTCTACTGGAGCACCGTCTACCCTCACTCCTTCATATGTGAAATGTCATGTGATGGTCTATTTCTTAAGACTTAAAGATGATTGTACTTTTTGATTCTGCAAAATACATTTCCAAATTACTGTGCCATTTTAAAACCTATATTGTTTTTCAACATAAATTCCTTTTCTCGAGAAGTTTGGGTTTTTGTACATTAAACTACAGATACGTGACACTATCCGCAGAGTAATTCACCAAACACCACATGCCAATAACATTTTCGGTTCACAACGACTTCAACATTCCATTTGTTTTAGCGTGTAACAGAACATCATGAAGTGGCAGCACGTGGCTTGGACAAAACAAACACTGTATGAACTCTGGGCCAGGCGTGACAAATACGTGACAAACATATGAGCGGGATCATTACCGATTTCCCTTGTGGGCCAGCTGGCCCCAGAGCTCCTGATATTCCTTGATCGCCCTGTTTGAGAACGGGCAACAGACAAGCAGGAACAAATGCAGCACAGAACAACAAAAAGAGTTACAACGCGACCGCGGTTAAATCATCCTGACTGCGCCCAGTAGCCTCGTCCGATCTCCGCCCCTAAGAAGGCTCGGGCCTGGTTGGTTTTGGTGGCCGGCCCTTGGTACGTGGCAGGTGTTGTAGGAGGCGTGGGGCTGCAAGGGCTGTGAGGAGCCAGGAGATGGCAGTACAGCAGTGGTTGGTGCAGTCCACTCACCGTATCGTCGACTTTGCCTATTGATTGTCTCAGGGCAGGGATGTGAGTGAGTGCGTGGGGTTTCTCCAGTTTCCTCCCAAAAGCCAAAAGATCAGTAATGGTAAAAGCGAAACATCCCAACACTTTTGGCTTCTTGATACTCTTTAAAAATAATATGAAGACTTAGTGTGGCTTTCATGGCTAAATCATGGTAATTATTATGAATACGTATGGTACGCAACACTAACGGGTTCATTATACCTTTATTTAATTCGGGGTACATCTCTGCAGCTTGTTAGAGATGAATGCACACACTTAATCTAAAACGACTAAATTTAGTAACCGAGGACAAACGTTTGTGAACTTGCCAGTGGTTGCAGGCAACAATTTGCTATAATCCGTGAGCAACCTGTGAGCAACCTGCATGGAATCTCTTTCTTTTCATCACTAACTGCATTACGTTTTATGTGAAAATGCACAAAATGATTTTGTTTCCACCCCAGCGCCAGTGCTATGATCATCGTCCGAGTTCAATGAAATCCAGCCAGCAACATCTTCGTTGGGCAAGTGTTTTGTATGTTTGTATTTTGAACTTCTTTCGCACCGTGCGTAGCCAACCGTGCTAATCGGGAGGTGCGAGGGAAGGACAACGGCTCTGTGCTTAAATGTTTGTCTGCGTGGCGTCTACAAGTGCACATATTTGGACTGTGTGTGTGTATTCACGTGTCAAAAGAATCAGAAGTTTTTATATCCCACTGAGTAAGGAGAGCCCAATGAGCTAAGAAGCGATTTTTCAAAGGCGACTCGGCTGGCAGACAACATCAACATTAATATTCCTACTGCTTTTATTGTTGATAATAAAATATAATTACCTTTCCGCCTTGTTCCCCTTTTGCTCCAGAAGAGCCGGGTGAGCCCTGAAAGTAAAACATATTTTTTTTAGCGAAAATATTAATATTCTGTGAACATGAATGAACAAATAATTATTTGTGAATATTTCTTAAACTCCCTGCCAGAGGTCTGACTAGGACCTCCAATCAGAGAAATCACAATGTCAATTATATATTTCCTCCACGTGCATTGTACATTTTCTTTATGCCTGGAATAGTCTGACAAACAATTCCCTTTGCAGTGGCTTGCCATCTCCAGTCTAAACATGAGGACGAGACACTGATTACCTCCTTAATGTAACTGCCATATAAGGATCTTGCTTTTAAATGTCGTAAATAAGCAAAGCTGTCAAACTGAGAGTAATCATTCACAGTGCCACAGATATAAGCGCACTGCACTTCGAACCTCGTACCCTGAGTTCGATCCCCTGCCATGGCAAACACCGGTGGTTAATGTCACATAGACTGGTCTGGGTACCGCTAATAACCAGTCCACACTAACCAGCATAGTGAAGAGTGAATATATAACCCTATGATGTAGGCAGGTATTCATCGAATAGTGGATTGACACATTGCTATATATTATACTGGTAGGAACCTCCTGGTTCCACCAGCCCACAGGAAATTATTCTGTCCGTCCGTCCGTCGTGCATCCAAAAATGGGAGGGGTGGGGCTGGGTGGAGAGGGAAGGGTGGGGAGGGGCTGGGTGGGGTGGGGAGGGGATGGGTGGGGAGGGTGGGGCTGGGTGGGGAGGGGCTGGCCACCCCATGATGCCCTTATAAAACTCAACGTTTAACCTATTCACGCCGGCTTGTGCCCGCCCTCACAGTCGGGCATATTTGCGGAATACACCACGCCGTCGTTGACCCTGGCCATTGACCGAGCAACCCAACGTTCCTACCAGCTCCCTCCGCAGGAATGTGTTATTTCACACACACATAGTTGCAGAGCAGGTGATCACAAGGAATGCTCACCGGAACGCCCGGGATCCCAACCTCTCCAACGCTTCCTGGCTTCCCTGGGTCACCCTGGACATGGGGAATGCATCGACAATAGGTTTGTAAAGTTACAGACTCTTCTGTCGTCATTAGCATATTTTATATGTAAGTGAACAAAAATGGTTCAGTCAAGACTTAAAGCTTTCGTGACTGTAGGAATTCATATTCTTTGGGTCTTTCGGTAAAGTCACATAGATAGATTCAAAGAAAATAACAAAAACTACGACGTTTTGATCGCAACACAAGCAGTCGTCATCAGGAAAATGGGGGGGGGGGGGGCGGGGGTGACGACCGCTTCATCGTAGTTTTTTGTTATTTTCTTCGAACCTATCTACGTGACTTTACCGAAAGACCCAAATAATATGGTTCAGTCAAATTGTCAAGCTTTTATTTTTCATTTAAACACAATTGGAGGTGGTGATATCAGCAGCGAGTGATGATATGTGAACCCCATCTGAGCCCCCTCAATCTCCAACCAGTATTGACCAGCATGGTGAAAGGTTAGATGGAGCGTGTGGGTGGTTGCAAAGCTCCCAAACGCTTGCGCTGGCCACGAGTTGGCCATGAGATGGCGGCACAGCAAGTGGCTTCACGGGTCCATCTTTTGCAGAGTGTTTCCTTTGAGCGCTGCTTCACGCGACCAGCAAAACACTCAACTCGTGGCATTGGCCAAACATCCCAATGCAGGAAAATAGTCTTGAGACTCGGTGAGGTTTTCCTGGATTCACTAGTGACAGTATAATTTGCAGAGGTTTCAATAATTTATGTTATTTCACTGGAGGAGTTTTTCATGTTTAAAAGGGAGGTACGACAGAGCTCCTGGTTTGTTACCTTTTTGCCGGGGAGTCCTGCAATCCCATCACGGCCATTGACCCCTCCAAGGCCCTGAAAAACAATGCAAGTTCATGGCATTTGGTCCCAATATTTAAATTCGACAACAATACACTTGTTTTTAAACCGCGCATATGAAGAATGGTGGAATTGGTGTTGGCAGAGTTGGTTAGCGCACTGCACAATGAACCTGGCAACCTAAGTTTGATTCCTGGCTATGGCTAGCATCAGCAGAATCTGTCACGCCCATATCCTCACTTAGTTCATCAAAGACCATCTTCACCAACACCACCATGACCAACATGGTGAAGTGTGTACGGTCAAACAACCACCATGACCAACGAGGCATGGGGAGGTCTTCATCCTGGGTTTATCCCGAATTTAACAATACTATTGAGAATCCTTGACCATTAAACAACACCATCTTTGAGGAAACAAATACAATAGGCAACGTTTCAGGCAATGGACCTCCTTCAGAGCACATAGTGAGGCCACCCTATCTCTTTAGCCTCTCTAATTATGTGCTATGAGGGGGGGGGGAGGGCATTGCCCAAATAGGCACCAAATATATATTTTCCTTTTAAGGCCACAAATGTATTTTCTGATGTAGACATGTTTGTATTTGGTATTTACAATACATTTTGAAGGGTCTTTTTGCCCACCTCTAAAAATAGGCTCGAATGAATGAACGATATCTACTCACCAGGTCTCCTTTTGGTCCTGGATACCCGAACTTTCCCCGAGGACCGGGTAGACCCTGGTAAACAACAACAAACACAGGACGCACCTCTAAACGACCTGCAAAACTCACACACGGATACACACGTGTACAAGAATCGCAACAAACTAAAAGACGTAGCCATTTCTTGAACATTATTAAGGACAGAGGCACATTTTAAACCAAAGCACGGTATTATGGGAAGCGATGACGTACATCCCATATGTGTGTGTGGTGTATTTGCACTGCTAATAAGCAAAGCTTTATGAAAAGTTGGCATTTTGCATCATATTGGTAGTTGTGCATGTATGTTGAACTTCTTTCGCACCGTGCGTAGCCAACCATCCATATCGGAGGTGCGGAACCTGGATCATCAGGCAGTAGCGATGATGGTTGTAACCATCAGTGAAACGTCGTGCTACCCAATTGTTAAATGTTGTGATATCGCTTTCCAACATTGCTTGTAGTGCTGCTGGAGCAGTAACAATTTGGCACTTTTGTTCACGTGGAAATGTTATTAGTTGGCTGTGTCGGGTGAAGGAGGGTTTACGACAGGCATTTTTATTCACGCGATCTGACCCAAAAAATAAATTACGAAGCATAACATAGGTTGCGAAAGCCTGCGCATTAATTCAGCTGATGGTATCGGCATGAAAATTGTGTTCTACAGAAACAACAAGATGATATAAAATGGAAACCAAACTAGATTGTACTCACTGTGTCTCCTTTAATTCCAGGCTTTCCAGTGATACCCCTGGGCCCTGCATCACCCTGAAGTTTGTAAACAAAAGAGTGAAATGTATGAGCATATTATAAAGTAGCACATTACATTCAGTTGAAGATTGTAAAGGGATAGCACGCATACGATGGATTGTGAAGTCAAATTCCTATGGTGGGTCGGCTCAGCTAATAATCCGTCCACAGCTGATAAAATGAGGACTCTACCACTTTGAGCAAGGTCAACAGTGGTCATCCTGTGGCCTCCGCCATGGGAACGTGGAATTTACACCACAGGCAATGAGCGCCGCTTCATTGGCTTTTAAGCAGCAAGAAAACGCAACTTTATTGACGTCAACAAGTGGAAAGTATCGCATCTCTGGATTGCTAATGCGGCTCGGAAAAAATATTCCGACTACCACAATTAAAAGTACCACTAGCGGCTGACTGGCACACCTTTTTTTTTTACAGAATCATATCTCGTCTTGAACAAGGTCGGTGTGTGTATATGTCATTCTATTCCACTCTTGTCTACGGCAATACGTTCAGGAGCTAAACGCCAATGTCGATGTCTGCGAGCCACGTGATGGCTTCGTGTGGTTTTGCCGTTCCGCCTCCAATGAAGGAGAGCAGAGACTACGGTCGTGTACTACAGGGTCCATAGTTCTGGTTGCGTGGCCATGGTCGCACTGTGGCTTGAATCTTTGATTTCCCACTTAAGAAGGAGATGTGCTGTTAATAGCACACCAGTGTCTTTCAGGAATGTAAATGCCAGCTGCGCGACGCTTGTGTCCCGAACAACGTGTTTATTCTGAACGTCCGCATTGTGTTTGCACGGTGGCGTTTCTTCTGGATCTCAGTTGTCAGATTCTTGGATGGTGACAGCGGCATGATCCCAGAAGGGGGATCGGGACCTGTATGTCATCATCAAAGGAGGTGGACATACATTTGGAGGTTGAGAATTGTCAAGAGGATTTACCGAAGGTCCAGCGATGCCCACGACACCTTGTTTTCCATCCTTTCCTCGAAGACCCTAAGGACACAATCATACATTTATTTGCACCGTGTTTCCATTTTACATAAACATTTATGAAATATGTACATGAATTTTTTTTTTTAAGTACCGTATATGGGTTGATACTACTATAAAGAAAACAGCCCGTGATACAATTGCACATAGTCAGTGGTTAATCGAACCTGCATTCGTAAAGCTGCACACGGAATCCAAACCCCAGGCAGGGTGGGGAGCAGCCGGGGAATTTGCACTACAGTGCCCGCAGTGAAGAAGGCTTCGTTGACTTGCATGGGGAAGGCAATTTTTGTGAGGTGAGAACTTTGAAGTCAGGAGACTTTGTTTAACTCACCTGCAGAGGGCTTCTCCAAGCTTAGCACCTCGCCCGCCGCCCCCACCGATGTCCTTTTCTTACTACCCCCTCCCCCCCCCCATGTGTGCAGGTACCGTACTACTGACTCTATTGTATGTAGGGTGTGTAGGCATGTATGCCTACAAAATACATTTCTCTTTCGGGGGGGGGGTGACATTTTTTGGGGCGCGAGGGTCAACAATGTTTGGAAACCTGTCAGATAAACTTTTTACCCCCACATCTGGGGGAAGGGTCCACTTTCTGTAATTGTTTGATTCAGGCCTTCTGAAAGGCTCTCATAATTTAGTTGACGGACAGACGGAACGCCGGGCTTTTTTAAAACAAGTTCAGTTTTATTTTGTTTCAACTGAGTATTTGGGATTGTCAGCTGTCAATGAGGAGGGGGTGTGGGGCGATGGTCAATTTGAGAAATTGTGGAGTAAGGAGTTCCCGTGTTTCTGGGTCAAATGCCAAACAAGTGAGGAGTTCCCAGTAAATATTGGTATAGAAGCCCGGATGGTTTTAAGTGCTGGAGAGAGGGAGTCAAGGTAGTTGAAGACCTTTTAAATGTGTTTCAATTATGTTATTCTCTAATGTTTGGCCAACATTGTCATGAAGCTCTGTTTCATCACCAGCAGGGAAGGAAGAGATTACCACTGCCACCTGCTCAACTATTTGTTTATTTTACCAGGTGAGGCCCACTGAGATATATAGCTCTTTTTCAGAAGAGACCCAGCCACAAATGATATCCCAACTAAGTGGTGTATCGCATGAAAATGTATAGCAGCCAAATACTCAAAATGCATGAATAGAAATGTGTATGGAAAAACCGGAGCAAAATCCACGCGACCACAGGGAGAGCATGCAAACTCCAAATCTACAACAGGTTTCAAGGCTGGGATCAAACCCACGGCCTCCTGTATACCAGGCGAGGTAGTTAACATCTCGCTACCACGGATCTTGTGCAAACACCATTAATCTTGTTCAACATCGCGAATCTGCGTGCGTGGAGGAATGCGCTGGGTACTTACTGTGTCGCCTTTAGCGCCCACCATACCAGTCACTCCTTGAAGGCCAGGAAGCCCCTTTAATTGAAAGAGACATGAATATATTTAGAATACAATGATGCCACAATTTACAATGCACGTAAGAAATGGTCACTTAAAAAATATATGCAAAGGGTTTTACTTAATCACATTTTGTACAGAAAAGTGTGTATTATTAGCATGCATCACCATGTCTTTGTGAAAAGAATTATACTCTCGTGTGAGTTCGACCCAGAGTGATAACAATCTAATACCGTACAAAGGTGTATTACCTATGAAAATGTTCAAAAAAAGCAGAAGCCAAATAATTATGAATGAATCACAGTATTTTGGATTTCGCCATGACGATAGCAAACAACGACTTGTCATAGTCAGCTCTTGCAAATGTCATGGGGTATTTTAAACGTTCCTCCAAACTGTCTGTTCCTCAGATTAGAAAGTTTGGCTAAATTCCATGACCAAGAAGGGTGGAATCAAAATGCACATTCCTGCACTCACAATTTGTTGAATGTCTTACAGTGAGTGACTTCCATGACACCATCATATTCTAGAAATTTTAATCATCTGTGTCGAGTTAAATAATTTACATGCGGGTAAGAAAGTATTTTAATCACTACAGTTCATTTCACATTGTCGCATCAATAGATATGTGAATCTTTATTCATGAACCAACCTGGCTGCCCGAGTCCCCAGGTGGGCCCGTTTCTCCCTGCAGTCCTTCTTCTCCCTGTGCAAAGATGGGTTAAAGTACGAAGAGTCACGTGCATCGCATATGTTCGATCGCCCTTCCTTGACCATCCGTTGTCACAGTGCCGTGTGTACACGCGTTCACCCTGCCCACCTCCGTAGGGACGTCACCTCTCTATAGGAGCCCACACAAGAGTTTAGATTATTTGGCTGCTAGACATTTCCACGCGATAAGCCACTTCGTCGGGCTATCATTTGTGGCCAGGTCGCCTCTGCAAAAAAAGCTCATAGCTCAGTGGGCTTTACCTGGTAAAATAAAATAGTTTAGTTTTGTTTGTATTTTTTTCAGTGATTTGTTTACCTTTCCTAGAATTTGCACTCTTTATCGTGTTTTTGTAATGTTTGTTGTTGTACTGTTCTGACCTGCCCCTACTGGACATCTGTGAAAAAGAGCTTTATAGCTCATCGTATTCCTCCAGTAATAAATATTCAGATTCTGATTGTACATGCATCATGTCAAGAGTTAAATTCCCGGGACAGAATACCCTGTCTGCACAGACCCTGAACCGGTGTATGTTTTAATTACTATATATCGGACTTTATTATGAACCATCATCTATAAATATGACAGTGTAAAGGCCTGTGAATGTCTTCGCCAAATCACTACCAATATTAAACGCTCCCTTTATTGTGGGAGATTCAGAGATGGGAGCCACAGCATAAATTATAAACGATGGTGATGATCCGTGTTATGGAAAGTTGTCTCCTTGTGGCATTTCCCTATAGTTTAGTCTATCAGTGTCTGCAAATACACTTAAAATACATATTCTCATTTGAATGCATATTAATATATAAATGTTTTAAACCCTCACCCTCGTGCAATATCCAATCGCGACCGTCGAGTCTAGAGGTACACGCTTTGTGTTGTTATATAAAATCAAGACTGTATCCTCGTCATCTTCAGCCATGCTCATTCCACTGCTGTATGAAGGCCTCCTCAAGCCACTCCCGCCGTCTCTCACGATCTTGCGATGTAACGATTCCACACGGTATCTGGACACCAAACTGATTTCCTCGCTCCATCTCCCCGGTGGGCACCCTCTTGGACGCGTCCTGCACCAAGCCCACTTGACTTCCCTCCGTAGTTTTAACGACGTCGTTCACCGGCCCAAGCCCTCTCTAATCTACGCAGTCCGTATTGTGCAATATAATAATGATAAATATGGAGGCAGAGGCTTCAACGTTCAACACCAACAGACTCATACCCTGGTTGACCAAGCTGAATGTGGTACCTCTGTTTGCTTTGTTTTTTATATAATAGCAGGCTGCACGCGTTATGGAGCCACGTAACCTTTCACCACTTTCCCACTGAAAGCACAGCGTGAAGCTGGACAGCTGCAAGGGACATTACGAACCTCTCACCTTGTAAGCTCACCTTGTGACCTTGCGAACCTTACCTTGTGACCTTGCTTGCCAGGCACGCCCAACTCTCCCCTTTCACCTTTATTACCCTTGGCAAGAAAACAAAAAAAACAGAGACGTAAGCAGCAGCGGCAGAAGCTTAACTATTGAGGCAAAGCAGATGCTGAATGTGATTGTCAGTATTCTTTGCCGTTCACACGGTGAGATTACCTGGTGTAGTGTTCTTCATTGCGAGGCCTACGAGCTACTGGCAGCCCCTGGTGGCCTTTAGTGCGGCCCCTGACGTGCGGCCCCCGACAAGACACAAATGCGACAACACCCCATCGTGCTGTCAAACCCCCAATGGTTTCAAATGTGTGGCGGCCCTCACACTGATTAAGTCTTTTCAGCGAAAGTGGTCCCCCCTCTGAAAATGAGTGAAGAACGCTGGCCTAGTGGCTGCGTGAGAACGGAGAGATCGTGATAGCGTGCGGCAGACTCCGTGACTCTGTCGTCTGTAGACGGGCGGTGGTGGCTACGCACGTGGCCTGTAATCCAGCACTGTGGAGGCAGTGAGGGTTGTTGGCTTGCACAAATGTCGCGAAACGCCTTTCCGGTGGGCGTCGAGGAAAAGGTGGTGCAGCAGAGTGAGAACGATGGGATAGAACGTCGCCCCCTCGCACGCGTGGGTTTTCTCTGGGTTTCCTCCCACATGTATGAACACTCACTAATCGGCTCAAAACATCCCAAACTATAGAAGACTACAAAGCTTGGGTAATTGAACCTCATGGCGGGACCACGGGGTCCCATAAGCCCCCGGCTCTCGCATAAACTGCGTTGCGACGTAATTTTATGTCTGTTGAAGGTGAACGATACGGCAATCTATTCCTCTCGACGAGCTCTACACGATGCGCTAATCAAAGTTTCAAAGTTTTGTTTTTTCTGTGCATTCGTCCTCGCTGTGCTTGGACGACATGACAACAGAATGATCCGCACTAGGTGGGTCACGATGTTTCGATCGCAACACAAGCGGTCGTCATCAGGAAAAGGGGGGGTTAGCCTCAAAAGGCAAACTGTTTATAAAGGTTTAGAGATGGTCTAAAGTCGGTTTTGGCTAAAGGGATGAACTTCAGCAGTCACCCCCAAACACATACCAGTGGATGACATTATTACCCAGGTCGATGTAGCCCTTAATGGTTTGGGACACATCACTGCAGACGTGACAAGATCTGAAATCGCTGCAACCCTCAAAAGCGTTAAGATACCAGTCAGCAACATCAGTAAGGATGAGTGTGTTGAGTTATCTCAATTGAAAAAGAGGGATGATATTGTCATCCTCTCAGCCGACAAGGACAATGCCACGGTCATCATGGACAAAACCGTGTACAACAACAAAATTCAGGACCTACCTAATGATGGTAGCTGCACAACAATTTAAAGAGATCCCACCAACAGCCTCGTTACAAAAAACAGAATCATCACTGATTCAGCTTCATTAATTGAACAGACCAAACGGTTTTCCTTAAAACCTTCTGCTGCTAGACCACCCAGACTATATGGCTTACCAAAAATCCATAAAGAAGGTACACCCCTTCGTCCCTATCGTCTCCACCATTGGCTCACCCACCTACAACTGGCCCGATATCTGTCTGAGACCTCACAGCCATTCACTGGTAAGACCACCTCTTCTGTACTTAACTCAGCTTACCTGGTATCGTCAATTAAATACATCTCACTGTCCCCAGGTGATTTGCTCGTTAGTTTAGATGTAGTTTCTTTGTTCACCAAAGTTCCTGTGCCCGATGCCATTGCAATCATTGAAGATTTGGTCCAACAAGGATTGAATGCTGATGTACCGGCCCTGGTGAGACACTGCCTCACCAATACATACTTCACCTGGGGTGGAACATTCTACAAACAAACTGAATGGCACCCCAATGGGTTCTCCTTAATTTCCGGTTGTAGCCAATATTTTCATTGAAAAATTTGTGATGGACACCATCCAGGCATCCACTCTACGCCCGTCCTTGTGAAAGAGGTACATGGTATGACACGTTTGTCATCTGGCCACATGGCCGACTGGCTCTGAACCAATTCCTCAAACATATCAATTCCATACACCCAGCCATCAAATTCACCATGGAGGTAGAAAAGGATGGCAAGCTACCTTTCTTGGATGTCCTAATCAAAAAGAGACCAGATGGCTCAATGAGCCATTCTGTCTAGAGGAAAGTAACCTGATACTGACGCCTACCTAAAACCTGATTCCCACCAAGGCGAATGGAATATTCTGACTACACAATCCTGCAAAGCCATCACCCCAACAGTGAGGAAGGAGCCATTTGAGGATCCAATCAAAACCATCACCTTATGCCATACATAGGGGTAACCAAAAAGATTTCCTAAATCATGAACAAGCACAAGATCCAGGTCCGATTTAACACAGTACATAAAATTCGTGATCTGTATCCCATCTGTGAAGGACAAGATTCCTGACATGCAATATCCCGGCGTCTACAAACTAAGCTGTATCTGCGGCAGCAGTTACATTGGGGAAACTAAGCGACATGTCTCGGACCGTGTTCGTGAGCACTAAGGCAGATTTGAAAACATGGTAGGACCAATACTTCTGCCGTGGCCAATCATTATTTAATAAGGCTGGCTCACACGAAATCGATTTCTCTAAGACTAATGGTACTTTGCAAGCCTACTGGCTATCAACAAACATTAGTTCATGAAGCAATCCATATATACAGACACAGGACACAATTTCAACCGAGAGGATGGCTATAAACTCAGCAATCATTGGAAAGGTGTCATCAACCACTTTGGGTTATGACTTGATTTGTGTTTGCATGTCAACCTCCACCGTCAGCAGTGTGGGTGTGTGGAGCGAGGTGCAATGATTTCCTGGAGGCCCTTTTGGCAGGAGACCCACTAACTGCCGAGTTGTTTCTACATTAACATCAGCTGCCCCGCCCGTGCTGCTGACACACTTGGGCTACGCCCATCTCTAAACCTTTATCAACAGTTTGCCTTTAGAGGCTCACCCCCCTTTTTCCTGATGACGACCGCTTGTGTTGCGATCGAAACGTCGTGGTTTTTTTATTTTATTTCATTCAGGTAAGAACCAGGCTACAGTCTACATTTATAGACTGCCAGTACGCTAACTGAGGTTAAGAATCAGGCTACAGTCTACATTATAGACTGCCAGTACACTCACCCAGCTTAATAACCATTGCTACAGTCTACATTATAGACTGACAGTACACTCACCAAACTTAATAACCAGGCTACAGTCTACATTATAGACTGTCAGTACACTCACTCCGATTTAGAACCAGGCTACAGTCTAAATTAGTATTTTTTTGTTTTTTATTATATTAATGTTATAATTTTTGTATTCACTTTATTTTTTATTATTATTATTTTTCTATCTACGTGACTTTACCGAAATAAACAAAGAATACCAATATATGTTGTCGCTGTTGTGCACGGAATAGTTGTGGTTGCTTTACCTTGGGGCCCATGACGCCACCTGGACCCGGCAGTGAAGGGTGACACGAAGCTACGCACTTGGGGGAGAATGATCAACGTTAGCAAAAATTACAAAACAAAGCAGAAACAGAATCACATCACGGATAATACATATGCATATTAATACATATTCATTCTTGTGGATTCTACAATAAGTGCTCAGTCATTCCGTCACTTTTGTGTGTTCATCGTCATATGGAGAACGGCTTGCTTCCATGTTATAATTTTCAGGCACGAACGTCGGGCCAACGTTGGTTCAATGGTTCCAACCATGTGCCATCGTTGACCAAATGTTGGCATGTTTACTGGGGATACGTATGTACGTATGTTTCTCATTGAAAAATAATTACTTTTCAAGTATATTGGTTGATATAAATGTTGCTAAAAACAGCCGCGATACAAATGTATGTGGCGAGCCGTTTTCTAATCCTGCATTCGTTAAAAGTTGCACACTTTGTGCAGACCACAGGCAGAGTGGATGAGCAGCTGGGCCATTTTTGCACTGCAGTGCCCCAGTGAAGAAGAGCTCATTAACTTGCATGGGTAAGGCAGTTTCTGTGTGGTTGGATTCATTAAGCCAGTTACCCACCACTCTCCTCGGCCACCGGGTGTGCAACTTATCTGAGCAGTGAACGTAAATCAGAAAAATTCTGCCTGCTTCAATTCAACAGGGATAGCAAAAATTCTAAAACTGTAAACGGGGAAAAAACAATGAGCATGAGATTATATGGCTTACTCAGTAATTAAAATAACAAATAAATGCACGTAGCAACTAAAATAAATCATGAAACAGATCTCACCTCAATCTCTGCATTGCCATCTGCACTCATGATTCCAGGAAGACCCTATCGAAACCGCAGGGTAAGACAACAATAACAACATCCAGCGCACATGTGCTTTAGTGCCGGCCACCAACATGTGACTTTACTCACACACACTTTGTTCATTCACTACAATGCCAGAGGCTCCCTTTGTAAATAACGGGAAGATAACCGCATTGGTGAAGAGGTGAAGTTACTCCTGCAAGGTTTTCGTGGTTGTGTCGCATGGCTTTGCGGGCCCAAAACAGTCGTCCGAAGGTTTGTTGGCTAACGTTTCAGAACGCATTTGTACGCACATAGGCATTTCAGTGCCTGGAGGCTTAGCTTATAAGACTGGAGCACAACGCTGACAATTGCAATATGGCAATGCTCAAAGCTGTGCCTTCTTTTTTTCTGGGAGCATAAACATTTCAGAATTCAATCCTGGGAGGACAGCCGATATTAATATTTGAGATCGAGACCGGCATTAAATATTGATGACCATTTCCAATATCGCTCGTTAGAAATGTGACACCACTCAACAATATTTTGAAATGAGAAAAACTTTTTTTTCGATATTGCCCCATTACCATTTCCAAGACCTCAACACATCACAAAACAATATTTTATATTTTGGAATGTAGGTGTGAATAAACGTGCAATTTTGAATAATAATAATAATAATATCCACTTCCAATGTGCTGCCCAGTATTTGCTCACTCTCACAGACAGAGAACAACTGAGTGGCGCAAGGAGGAGGAACCACAAACGAGCGGAAAAAGCTGGGCGCCAAATACCCCCGCCCAAGCTCTGCGGTTCTGTGTATGTGAAAGGTGATATTGGCCAAGTCATGAGTGTTTTGAGGGAATACTTGTTTAAATATGAATGAAAATGAGGACAAATGTGATACAATTTGTCGAACTATATTTACAACTTCTCATATTAGCCTTTCAAAGTAAATAAATGTAAGCCCATCCGTATTTATTAGTTACAAAACAGAGAGATGTGAAGGATCAACAACAATACTTCACAAGAGTACACTAAATGTGTCTGGTGCCAAACATGATTGTTGATATGCATTTTGGAGCTGTCCAAAGATTACTACTTTATGAAATAAAGTGCTTTATAATATACGGTTTTAATCTTTACCAATAATCAATAGATAAAACTACACCCTAAGAGAGTGACTATATTCCGCATGTAGCAGAGCAAAGAAAATAAAGAGATTGTATCTGAAATCACGGACTTCGACAGCCCCACGCTCGAATGTTATCAACGCCACCTCGTGGAAACACCGGGTTATTTGCTTTAAAGTTTAAGGGAAACCCAACATTATACTGGTAGGAACCACCTGGTTCCACCAGCCCACAGGGGATTATTATGTCCGTCCGTCCGTTGTGCAGGGAGGGGCTAGGTGGGGAGGGAGGGGCTGGGTGGGGAGGGGCTGGGTGGGGAGGGAGGGTGGGGCTGGGTGGGGGGTGGGAGGAGCTGGGTGGGGAGGATGGGGCTGGGTGGGGAGGGGCTGGGTGGGGAGGATGGGGAGGGGCTGGGTGGGGAGGGTGGGGAGGGGCTGGGTTGGGAGGGTGGGGCTGAGTTGGGGGGTGGGAGGAGTGGGGCTGGGTGGGGAGGGGCTGGTCACCCGTGGTGCCCTTATAAAACTCAACGTTTAACCTACTCATGCCGGCTTGTGCCTGCCCTCAGTCGGCCATATTTTCGGAATACACCACGCCGCCGTTGACCCTGGCCATTGACCGAGCAACCCAACGTTCCTACCAGCTCCCTCCGCAGGAATGTGTTTGCCCAATAACCGCCAACACATTCATTTATTTGCTTCGTCCATCTATATTTTTTCGTGAGCCACTATCCCACGTGGTCATAGAACCACGTGTCCGTTGGCATGCACCGTTCGGCGTTTGTAGATGTTTTACGCGTGATCAAGTTTGTCATTTGCCTTCATTGTTGTTTTATGAGAGACTTGGAAAAATGTTGTAAACTCACCTCCAGGCCTGGTGGCCCTGGTGGTCCGGGCAGGCCTGTAGGCCCACTGTTACCCTGCATTTGAAGACATTCCAATGTTAGAATGACAACCACTGGAAAATGCGTTAATGCTCATCTCTGAATTCATGTTATGGTTGAGGAATTTATATTATCTAGTTGGCCCGTAGGTAACAACTTTATTTTCGTTTGTTATTAGAATCACACCGGGTGGCAATCGTTTTACAGCCATGATCTGGTACACATTTCTGATTGTTCCACTTAATCTTAGTAATTAAGCTGCTTATGACTAAATATCTCAACGTTTGGACCGACTGATAGAGGTTTGGCATCACCTGCATCGTGGTCCATAAAGGCCTGTAACTTACCTGATGACCACCACATTAAGTTGTTCCGCTGAAGCGCGTACATTCAGAAAACTTACCAAAACCGTCAAAAACGAGTTATACTCTGTTCCGGAGTTTCCGAAATTGTTGCGTAACATTATTGCAATGTTTATACCTCTCTAAAGGGTCAAATTAATTAGAGTTCACGTTCTAAAAAGTACAACAAAACGAATCAAGTAACGACACGTTTGCGTTCCTCGAGTCAGTGGTCGCCTCGGGCTCCGGGTGCAAGGAGTTAAATGCTCCCCCCCCACCGCCTACACACTCAATCATTACGCAACTGCCTGGAGTCTAGGTATGGGCGCTCGCATGCCACGTGACTGCGTGTACGTGTGCATGTTCAACTTCTTTCGCACCGTACGCAGCCAACCGTGATAATCGTAGGTGCGGCAGAAGGACGACAAACTGAACACAAAAGGCAGCTCGAGAGAAATTAGTTTTCAACCGAGATTTTTAAAGTGCATAGCTCCAGTGGCCTCCTAATATTGGAGGAGCGTTCCAGACGGCCGCAGGGGCGCATCTGAAAGAGCGCAATGCGGTGAGCGTCTTTGTTCGGTTGCTAACCAAGAGCCGCTGCTGCCGCGAGGATGACCGGAGTTTGCGTGATCACTGTTTATGCTCCTTGACGAGATCAGTGAGGTGTTGTGGTGGTTCATTTGTGGCGAGCGCTTTGTGTGTGTAATGAGTGTCACAGTGATAGGGAATGTCATTCCCCACAATCCACTTACGGGAGCTCCAGGAAGACCAACTCCTCCTAAGATTCCTTTTTTCCCTGGGATGCCCTGCAACAGTCACAGATGGAACTCAATTACAAGCCTCGCCGATGAGCAGCCGTCGCTAACGGTGATTTAATTCTAGCCGTGGTTGTATTGATTTGCTAACCCTCCTTATACTTTGCACTCCCATTGTGTATGTGTATTGTTTGTTGTTGGAACTTTCTGACCCGCCCCAACTGGAAAGAGCTTTACAACTCATCGGATTCCTCCAGTTTCATAAGTAAAGATTACAATTCGGATTGTGCGGCTCGTCGTTTAAGTAAAAAATTTAAACTTGGATGCATGAATGATACGTAAAAGTAAGCTACTTGTGGCACATTAGGAATGGATCACTCTTTTAATTATGTCCTTGTGCAGCAAGGGAGTAAAGTGTGGTTCTGTGAAAGTCCTGATGTGCTGTGCAGTGCATCAATGCATGTGTGTACAGCAGCATGTGATGGCTGAGTCGGGCCTGTAGGTGGCTGGCAGGGTTATTGAATGACCACGCGGATATACCAGTCACATGGTTAATGGCGACTCGGGAGCAATGCTGTTGTAACACACGTGCTGTTGCATTTTACAGTGACGGTGCTGTTCTTCACAAGATTTCTATTAACCACAATAAATGTGCTTGCCCCCGATTTGGAGCACCTGCCCACGTCCTTGATTTCGAATGTGCAACATACTGTATGAAAGTCACGCGGCTTGGAAGGCAGAGGCCGGAGGATCTTTTTACATTTTGTCAAGTGATGTAATACTCCCAGCCTGGCTGAGCCAGGAGACATCCAGACGAGGGCAACACGGCAAATTTACCCATCTGTGCGGACAACTCAACACATGTGCCTTAAAAGTGCCTTAAAATGAAAATATACAGGGACTCCTCTACTTACGAACGAGTTAGGTTCTAGAGGTCTGTTCGTAAGTCGATTTGTTCGTAAGTCCAACTTTACTCCTGTCGATTCCAAACATGTTGTACGGCATGTACACTAGACATGGGGAATGGCTTTGAAAGTTGTATAATCTCCCGTAGATGTAGATGCCACTGGTTCTTCATATTCGGCAGATGTAGATGCCACCACCGCCATATATTGCGCGGTGGTTGTACTTACGACTCTCGGTCCGAACAGGCAACTGGACACACAGACAGGTTTGTTCGTATCTATGAAAGTTCGCAAGTCGAATGTTCGTAAGTAGAGGGATCTCCTGTATATACAGTATATAATAGGTGATGAAGCTTGACCTTATATTATTATACTGTACATGATAAGTATAACTCTCTTTTCTGCCCCCACATAGATGTAAAAATGTACAGTATGTGTCCATCAACCCATCGGATTTCTAGGCCAACATTACGTAACCAGCAGCATTTGTTTAATCAACAAACTCTTTGACCAGTTTTTATCTTCTGGGTCTCATGGGCAGCTTTGAGAGTGATTGCCACAGAAGTGTAGGTTTACTCGGTAATCCTGGTTTAGTTCCACAGGTAACAACACTCGCTGAGAAACTGGTCAAACTTCCCTACGTCTTGAATTTCCTTAAAGCTCTTGCGTGGCAACACTTTACCTGCTATTTATGAGATAAAGCGTGCATTGCACACCTTTGTACCAGGTTACAATAAAGATGTATAATTGATGAGTGTATTTACATTTTGTTCTGGCAGAACGGGTTGTATAGGTGGGAGAATTATGTCACCATTACATAAGCCCTGCATACGCTGGGTGTACTAGATTCCTGTGTAATTACAGAGACCACAACAAAACGAGTGCAAGCTGGCTTATATAATGCAGCCAATTAGATGCACTGTGGAGATGAAACAAAACATGACAGTATGCTGTGCTGATGATCTCGAATAAGGATAAAACCTGTATGCAGCTGTGGAAATGACCTGGTTGCCACTGTATAGAACACTTTCACTTTACAAGCATGTGCAGTTTAATTTTGACAAAGGTATTCAATATGTCTTATTGGGGAGAGGTGGCAGATAGGTTAATGCACTGCGCTATGAACCCAGTGACCTCAGTCCAACTGGCCTTGGCTGATATCAGTGGTGAGTGATATCTGAACCGGTTCTGGGCCCTCCCTTCACCAACCCACACTGGGCCACGTGGTCAAACAACCTCCATGACTGACTCAACATGGTAATGCCCACGGATTGACAAATGACTAAACTATTATTAATTCAATGGCTTAGTATGTTGATCAGCGTTTATTTTAAACAAGGGACTGCTGAACCAATTTTACTTTTTGAGATGAACCTCTATTGTTTGACTCAACCAGCGTATGCATCCGAGTTTGTCCACTTCATTAAACCAAACACTGCGACAACGTCACGGAGAGAAGACGACGATGGCACATACCGCGGGACCGGCCAGTAGTTGTCCCTGGATTAAAACAACAAAATCACAAGAGTCAATAAGGACCCGTGCCTTGATGACAACGCACAAATGTATATGCGCATTACACTGCATATATAATGACATGTATACTAATTTACATAATTACATAAGCACAAGTGCCCGTGCGGCTGAAAATCCAGAATTTATAATTTCCTCTACTCACCGATGGCCCGGGGGGACCCGGCGGTCCTTGGTTTCCCTGCAGGTAAAATAAGTCAATAATCAGAGACCATACATTCAAAGACTGCCTCTAAAGCACAGCCATTCAGGTGTTAGGGTGGTGGAGTGGTGGTGCAGTGGCCGTAGCGAACGACAGCGAAGAGTGACATCTGAACCGCTGCTCTGTGAATTGATGTGGTTTTTTTTCCGTCTCATTTCGACAGATTTTTCATCTTCCATCAGCGTCAACGTAACTCCGTTTGATTGTAACTGATGAATCTATGCATCGTTACACTTCGAATGCCTACTTGAACGTGTAAGCACCAGGTGGAGGGGCAAGTTGCTTGTTGTCTGGGCCCGCTGTGTGCTGACCGAGGTACAAGGGTTTGGTGCTGTGTGTGCTTGCATTCAGTGGCAGTGTGGAAGTGATGCAGTCGAAAGTGTTTTGGACCGTGCCCTATACAAACACACACACAAAATGACATATTTCAAGAATGAGATTTTACTACATCAGGATTACAGTACCTTTTGTCCCAGGTTCCCTGAAGGTCCAATGTCACCAGAAGGACCTACAATTCCCTATAAACACGGGAAAAACAATCTACGTGAATAAACGTACATCGTACTCTACCGTTTCAAAACAAAGGCTCGGACTTGAAAATTAGCACGAATACGGTACGACGAGAACAATGCAACCTGAAATGAACGTCAACGTTTCAGCGTACCTACAATTATTTCATCAAGCTTCGTTCGTTCATTTATTCGCAGTTAAATGACTGTTCAACATCACGATTAACGTGGCAAGTGTTGTACACAATGGGGAATTAAGGAAAAACGATGCAAGCGAACAACGGGGCAGCTCTCATCTGCACCAGCAGCCCTGAGCCGAGTGGAGGAATCTCCACATTCCGAGAAGCGGGGTCAGTCTCTCCATGAGATGGTGATTGATTTCCCACAAAGCGGCACTCGTCTTTATCAACTTGATATCGTTGAATTGGCTGAGCTGGCTCCCAACAAAGACTTGAGCATGGGAACATTTTAGCTGTGAGTATCGAGCTCCCGTGACAGACAATGTTGACGTCATGAAAGTTCTCTGTAAATAAATCCTCTGAGCTGCCACTGCTCAAGTTCAGAGTCTCAGCTTGGTCATCATTGACTGCACAAAAAGAGACCGACCCACCGTGCCCAATTTGATTCGGAGCTGAATTTCAATTGAGACAAATATCAGCTGGCTGGGTTAGTGGGCCCGTGACAATCTTATCGTAGAATGCGTGTGTATAGTGCACCCCCTACTGTGTAAAGGATAACAAGGCAACTCCTCCGGAGTTATTCTCTGACACGCGACGCGCACTGCACTGCTCTCTCTCTCTCGGCGAGATTCCCGAGTGAATTGCTCTTCTCACAACGCCGCGGAGGCTGAGCTGAGAGGACACTTTTGGTGGTGGTGCAAGTCGGGTCACAACAACAAAAACACCATCTGAAAAATGTTTTACACAATCCCAAGTTGTGTTGCATGTCGGGAGGAGGAGCAGCAGCAGCAGCGGCACTCACGTCGCTACCGGGAATGCCGGGGGGGCCAGGTTTTCCCACGACTCCCGAGGGGCCAGGGTTTCCTTTCTCTCCCTGGTGCCACGAGAAACACAAACAAACAGAACGCGCATTGCCTCGCCATCACCATCAGGACGCACGCAATGTGGTGTGTGTATATCGAGGCACGATTATGGCACGTCGTGAAAAAGAAGCGTCTACGGGAGGCTGGGTGCTGAAAATGAAACCGGGATCGGTCTTACAGTTTGTCCAGGTGCCCCAGGAAGTCCTCTCAGACCCTAAAGAAACAGATTTAAGCATGAATGACACATTGTAAATCGATTGATGTTAATGTACACACAGTACACAGAGTCTACAATAAACACATTAAAAACAAGTGAAAGCCTTACTACTAGGGCATTCGTGATGTCATGATCTTTTGCTCCGTGACATGAGATAACCATGAATTTGTATACATTATATGTGCATTGCACCATTGTAATCCATAGGACTTTGAATTTCGCTTCTACTGCAGTAGCATAACCAGTGGCAAGGCATCAGGGTAGTGAGGGTAAATATTCTCAAGACAAACTTCAACAGCTAAATTTTGTAAATTGTAAAAAAAGAAAACTTAATTTTAAAACAATATATAACCCACCTGCTTCGACTAAGCCAACTTTCATTGCTGAGTAACAACATTCAGGCGGCTACCCCTGACAGATTGCTCACCAAACCATCCTAGTATTGTGAGTGCTCGTGCTGGAATTCACGAGACCGGTCTCAGGCAGCACGTGCTCACGAGACCCACCACTGCCGCTGTCTCTCTCACCGCTGTGATGGGCTGTGAATACGAAGACGTAATCACAGTGACGTCATCACGCGCGTGCGTGAAAATGACGTCACCGTATTATGCCAAAGGCCAGGTGTGATTTTTTAAAATCCTTTATATTAAGTTCACTTGCGCGCTTGCTTGTGCGCTTACGACCGTGCAAATATTTCGGTCGTTTTTTAACCCACTTCCCGTGATCCAATCGAGCTGACATTTTCCACACAGGTTCGTTGTGCGTGACAATTAATGTTCGTGAAAAAAAAATTCCACAATTTTACACTTTATAGGACAAAAATATAATATTTAATTACCAATTGCTTAATGGTGCCATGCAATCATCTGACCCATAGGTGGCAGCCATCTCAAGCCAGAGGACGAGATGACTCAAGCCGCCACGCATATAAAGGATTTATAGTGAAAAATTTTGTTTTTACGGGTTATACTTGTTTTTAAACTATGTGATGGCACTTAGATACCACGCCGTGATGCAATGGCTGCACAAGACATCTGGATCTGGCTCGGGGCCAACTAGGAGCAGGGACAGGACTAATAAGGAGTATGAACAATATGGCGTCATGTCTGTGTGTGTATATGTCACTTTGTGAGTGCGTGTGTATAGATATGAAATAATACATATTCTTCATCATAAGACTTCCTTTGCCAGTATCAAAATAGAATAGGTGTTCGTCTTTTGGCGTCCTCTGGTCTAACACGGTTTGAAAGCTGTCTTTAGTGTGGACCAATCAGTTTCAAAGACGATGCACATACTGTCAGAGCATGTTTTGATTTGTATCTTCACAAATATGTGGTTAGGGGCCGTCCATAAATTACGTCACGCCCCTAGAGGGGGGAGGGGGGTCAGACATTTGTGACGATGTGTGACGAGGGGGGAGGGGGGGTTGAGAAATGTGACTTCACATCAAAATGCGCAACTTTTAATGAATATAAACAACACGTTCTACTTAATAAAATAGAATTGTTATAAAACACAAATTTTGATTAATTTTCATTATTAACTATTTGATTAATTAAATTTACTAAGGTCACCTTTTGTTTATTCCATGAAGGAGCATTTTGCTTCTCCACGGGAAAATGGAGAAGCATACATTTTGTATTTTTATTATTATTGTTATTAAACATTTAGATTGTAATGATTCTACCAGGGCTTTTCATTCTGTGGAATGAATATGTGATTGTTATAATTGTACTCTCCATTTTGTTTCGTTGTACGACAACGTTTCAAGTATTTTTTTTATAGTTATAATTACTTTTAATATTTTATAATTATAAGATGATTTCAATATAATATTCTGAACATCGGCAGTTTTAGTTAGACGTTGAATATTTTCAAGTGAATTTTATGCTAAGTTTCAGATTTCCAACGCCTCCTTTTTAATACGTGTTTCTCCTCCAACATCAGAGTGCAGCGCCACATTAAATACGCACTACAAGGAAAATAATTTAAAGTGATTTGAAGCATGTTTTATTTTCATAATGGAAATATGGTTTTGGGGGGGCGGGCAGAGCTTTGTGACGTCATAATTGAGGGGGGGGGGTCTGACTTTTTGTGACGCCGTGTGACGAGGGGGAGAGGAAGGGTCAAAAATCGGCCAAAATCGCGTGACGTCGTTTATGGACGGCCCCTTAATGCAGACATGATTCCTTGCAAAAGGTTTAAGTTTAATGTTTTAACATCTTAACACCTGTTTTGTAGCCTTAAAAAGGGGAAACTCTATTATTATAATAAATATTGTGACTATGATCTGGGAATGTGTATAGCTGTGTGTGAGTCAACTCAAACGGTTTCTCCTTGTCTTCTGCGAGAGACTCAACGTCGCACATTGCGTGCGACATCAGCGGCACGGCTTGGCTTCTGCAGTGGAAAAACCACCTGCAGCTCCTGACCTCCCTGACCCGCGATGGCCTCGAGCTCAGCACCGACGCCGATGTCCCAGTGGAAAAGAGGTAGTTGGAAGCGTACGGTGCGAAAGAAGTTCAACATAATTTTTTGTGGCTTCATCCTTTCACGTTCTGCTCACACTGCCCTTTCCTATCTATCTCACCTTCCTCTGCTGCTCAGTGACTTTGACATTAGGGAGGGTGGACATCCACTGGGCAGGAATGTAAAAGGAAGGTCTGTGGGGTTGTGATTACAGAGTAGAGTTTTAAAGTATATTACTTTAATAAAGGTGTATTATTAGGGAAGGTTATAATTGTATTATGTTTCACAGATATTTTTCGATTTAAAGCTTTCGTGACTGCAGGGATTCATCTTCTTGGTTCTTTCGGTAAAGTCACGTAGAAGAGAAGTAATAAAATAAGAAAAATATTATTATTTTATTATATTATTTTATTATGTTTTATTTTTATTATTTTATTACTTCCCTTCTACGTGACGTTACCGAAAGAACCAAGAAGATTTCACAGATATGTTTTGTTAAGGCTACCACTTTTTTGGAGGTGGAGCTGGTAGCCCCCCACCCTCATCAGCCCCGCCTACTTTTACATGACCACGCCCACTCGACAACGAGCTCCACCGCTACACGATGAGGTGGCCTCCCCTTTGCTCTTTCTGCCACTGACCCTGCCAACAGGCCCCGCTTGCCCTTCAGCCAACCGGGCACACTAACCCAGCTAGGAACTGTCCCTTTGATCGTATCGTGAGTCGAGCATGAATTCAAATCTATAAACGATGAGAAAACGCATCACAAGAGAAACAGTGCAGGATGGGAAAAGCAAAGGTTTGCAACAACATACGACAACCGTGAACTGTGTGTACAAACAACTGTCAGCCTAAATAATTTTACAAACAACCACAGTTCCTAAAGGTCAAAACCGGTCTAGAGTTGTCTCTTTGTCTCACTGCTGCCCGTTGGTTGGTCGCATTTGCTCAATTTATAATAGACTAGCTTTAACTACACGGGACTTGGATTCACCACGCCCGGCCGACTTTGTCTCCCCAATGGCGATGTTCACACACCACAGCAGTTACTCGTTTGAGGCTGAGTCGACCTAGGGGAAGCCCAGGAGCAGTTAAAATAATCGAACTCGGGTCGCCGGGTTCGTAGCACAGCACGCTAACCACGACACTACAATAAGTTACGCTTCCACATGCGCGGGTCACATGACAGATTTGACGTCACAGCTCACTTTCCGTGCAAAAAAAATATGCATTATTGAGCTCCCCCCCCCCCCCCCCCAAAAACACACAAAAGTGTATTTGAATAATCTTTGCATGGTGTACAGTCTGGAAAGTACCCACATGGCAAATTTCAAGCTTGAACAGACACATAATCACAACTTTGCCTTTTTTCTATATGGAGATGGTGACTTAAGACAAGATGACCGCAATGCTTTTATTCAGGAACTGGTGTTGTTACATATGTATAATCTGAAAGCTCTTTGGACACACCGTGCACGTTTCCATCTTGTTTAAACGTATCATGAAGCCATACAATCTGAAACTGGGACAAAATCCATATTTTCACAGGAGCTTCGTGAAAATTACAGACTTTTTTTATCGAGACTGCCACGGTGAAACTGGGACATTTAGTAGCATTATGCGTTGTCTAATTTTACCTGGCGAATATGTTAACAATCTGCAAAGTGATCCAACTCACTTTTAAAGAATGGCTGAGTGTCCACCTTTTTCCTCCACCCCCACCCCCTTCTCTCCCTCGCTCCCCATATTTTGCTTGGGTTAGAAAATGAACCTGGCACACCTTATTTAACCTACTCTTGTTCAGAGAGGAAAGCCTACCCAGAAGGCACATACTGTTGTTATTCGTGTTTGTATGTGCCCTCTGATGTGATCGTTCAAATTGGTTCAATATAAAAAATAATAATGGATGTGTGGGTTTCAGCGCAGTCTGCTTATGTTAGCACAGGCACAGGTTTAGAGATGTTGCAAATACAGGGATCTCGTATCATGGGATATACCGGCTTAACACTGGTCATAAAAACAAGGCCTTGGGTTCCAGTTAGGCTATGGCAGACTCTGTGCAATTAACATTAAAAAAAAACTCAACCACCATCATCATTCCTCATTTGCACATGCCCACACTGCAGGATTTTTACGTTTACAAAAATATTTCTGGCTGCAAAAAAGGGCATTGCCAAAGGCTGTCAATTATTTTTTTATATTATTTAATCTTGAATTAAAATGTATTAAAACTGCATGTCTATATATTTCCTTTCACTGACAAGTTTGTCAGGTGTTACTTTTTTTCTCATTCGTATTTTTTTGGAAAACAGCATAGTGCATCTGTCCATTTAACGGCAGGTTATTTGCTAATTAACTACTTTTTGCTGATACTTCTCCTACTCGGCCACCCTGTGGTCCATCCATGCCCCACTTGAAAAGGCAGAAGGCAGTTTTCACTTACAAAAAGCAAGCACCATAACTCTTTCCCGTAATCTGTGGCAATAATAAATACACGTACTCCACAAATTATTAGGAGATGCTGCGTTGACAGTGGTGCACAGGCACAATTAACAAGAAAAGCCTCCAAACGTTCGTCAATATAATAAATAAATATATTATTTCTAACGTTTCGGGAAAATGGCCTTTCTTCAAAGCGCATGGCCTCGCTCCCCTTTTCAGAGACAAGGTGAGCTGAGCTCTGCCTTTATTTTATTTTTTTCATGCGAGACTGCTCAGGCTTTAGGGTTCACGATGAAGTGCACATGCCCATGGACCACGAAACCCATTGCATTGCACGGAAAGCTGTTGACACAGTACAAACACTTCAGTTCAATTATACAGGGTGTTTCAAAATTATGGATCCAATTTGAAATCGCTATATCTCTGCAACCACGAACCGCCCATGAATGAAACTCTTACCACTTGAAAGGGCGGGGCATAGAGTTTCAAATGATTACCACTAGATGCCTCTCCCAGCGCACAAACAGCCCCTAGCCTCAGTCATTCGCAAGATGGCGACCCTGCAACACAATGCGTTTTGCGTTCTGCAGTTCGTAGAGCATTCGTCGTTGGTACCGACAATTTGAGGAAACAGGCTGCTTATGTCAGGGGAAGAGCACAGGGCGACCACGCACCTCAGAGAAAAACGTGAGAAGAATTCAAGAGAGTTTTCTGCGTAGCCCGCGCAAGTTCACTCGTCGTGCCAGCCGAGAACTTGTGATCCCTCATACGACTGTCTGGCGTGTGTTAAGGCGACGTTTAATCATGAGGCCATACCGGTTGCAAATGGTACAGGCTCTTCGTGCAGGTGACGAAGGAAAGCGTGTAGAATTTTGTGATGCGATGTTACAGAACATGGAGGACGACGGCTTCTTACCGCGTTTGATTTTTATTCATGAAAAAACGTTTCATCTAAGCGGTAAAGTTAACCATCACAATGTGTGGGGGATTAGAGAATCCACACGAAACTGTAGCGCATGAGCGTAATTCCCTGAAAGTGAACGCGTTTTGTGCTGTTTCTCAAAGAAAGGTTTATGGCCCTTTCTTTTTCGAGGGAAACACAATTACGGGGCAAGCGTATCTCGAAATGCTGCAGAAATGGCTCTTTCCACAACTTGATGAAGATTCCGATTACTTCATTTTTCAGCAAGATGGAGCACCGCCACATTGGCACCAACGTTTTCTAAATGACACACTGCCTCTACGTTGGATAGGTCGCACGGGACCCCAAGACTTGGCGCTACACTCTTGGCCCCCAAGATCCCCAGACATCACACCCTGCGACTTTTTCTTGTGGGGATACGTCAAAGACCGTGTTTCTGTGCCACCATTAGCGACTCGTCTGGATGACCTCAAAAACAGAATCATGGCAGCGGTGACTTCAGTGGAAGAAGACACTTTGAGAGGCATTTGGGACGAATTCAACTATCGTCTCGATGTTGTCCGTACAGCAGGTGGAGGGCACATAGAGCATTTATAAAATGGTTGGTAAAACTTGATAAATCATTAAACCGTTTGTAACTTTTAGTGTAATTGTAACATGTTGCCATCGTGAAATATACTGCTTTGAAATTGGGTCCATTATTTTTAAACACCCTCTACATTGCAGAATAATTTGGACTTACAAAGGATCTAAATGTGGCTCCATCTCAAGATGCTGTACAAATGAGAGGACCATGCACAGCAATGATAATTTGAAGGAGATTTTTTCCAGGATTTTTTTAACGCCGCAGAAAGAAAATGGACCACAGTATGGTAAAGGTTTAAAATGAAGATACTTCACGGAGGAAGACGGCCAAGACTCATGATGCACATCCTGCACCATAATACAAAGCCTTGGCTAATGTGCAAACAAAGACACAGCCAGCCACAATTGTGGCAAAATCGCCCGATGATGCTAAATGTAATTACCAGCGAAATGTCACAGTGCTCAAATGGTAAATGTAACTAATTGGCACGTTTTGTTTACGTGACAAACCTTACTGGTTGGCTGTGTCGGGTGGTGGCCAGTTAACGACACGTTTATACTTATGCGATCTAACCCAAAAACACCTTTATTATGAGCCACAGGTAAAGTAAAAAAGAGATTCTGCATGGAATCAACAGGGACAGGGAACTGGCAATGTCGCCAGCCACAGGAAGTGGAATGCAGACAAATTAAATCCATTCTAATTTTGTGTCATCACTTCTCTTGGTGGCTATAAATTTGTGCTCTCGTATTGTGCTCGGTATCACTCCACTCGTGACCTGTAAGCACGAGCACGCAAGTCCAGTACTAAGAATTCTATTTATAAAGCGGCTTTTCATCAGGGATATCAAAGCGCTGTACAGGACACAGCAGCAGCAGCAGCCACTCAGCATAAAACTAATTCTATTATGAATACATTTTAAGAATCCAAATTTCTAAGTAGAAAAATAATACCTTCACGACCGGTGTGGCTAACGGCCATTGATTTGTTCAATACGTTTTTAGGCTACTCATGCTTCGATGGAAACACCCAAGGCTGTTGGGCAAAACTGGGGCCAAAATTGCCATTTCACTTGCCTTCTTTCAAAATTAATTCCAGCTATCGTAATACAATTGCGTTGGATAGTGTTCATCATGTAAGGCAAATCTATTTTCAACTATTTTTTATTTCACCAGGTAAGGCCCACTGAGCTACATAGTTATTTTTCAGAAGAGACCTGGCCACAAATGATAGCCCAACAAAGTGGCTTATCGTCGTGTGCACATTAATAGCAGCCAACTACTTTAAACGCATGTTTCTAAATATTGAGGGAAAAACTGCGACCATGGGGAGAACATGCATACTTCAAACGTCTATGTTTTTGTAAAGCTGTAATATAGATATGATCAACTATGATTCAATGTGTATAATTGCACAACATTGGAACTATTTTGGAATCTTTGGCAACATTTTCCTTGCATGCATAAGTTTTAAAATAGAAAAGTTTAAATGATCTTCACCTGAACAGAATAATAATGATACCTAAGAGCACCTTTGCCTCTCTAAAATCTCAATACGAGACGTGTCGGCATGGTAGACACGCTGACGATTAATGGGATGAGACTTGTACGACTAAAATATTAATTCCACTGTGTGTGTGGTTTATGGACCTGGCTTAAACTTCTATCTAATTATAATCGTGATGATAACTTTATTAACACTCCGTATTTCTCTGCAATCGTAAATGAAACAGCATTATTAACTTAACGGATTGGTCTGCAAACTCAGTCACAGATGTACACTTAAGAGTCCGATTGTGTAGCACAAATATATATATACATCACTACTATATTTCATGGACTCGTGACGTACAAATGTCACTCTATACCGAAAATGTAGGCTCGGCTACAGCACAATAAATATATTCAATGAACAGAATGAGATATATCAACATATAGATTTAAGAAGTATCCAGTTGCTGTTTCAGTGAAACATATTTAATGAATATCCTATTTAATATCAACTTAAGTGAAAATTACACGGAGAACTCGCTGAGTGAACTCCAGCCACTACTCTTCAATGAACCTTTCCACAAAAACTCATTCATGCCATCACAGCATTTCCAAGCAAGAGGCACATTTCTGTGGCTTAACGATACGTTTGGGCGACATTTACCGAGGCTTAGAGCCACGAATAATTCATCGAAAAGCAATAACTTACATCGTTTCCATCACGACCAGGAGATCCCGGGGGCCCTGGAGGCCCCCGGATGCCCACAGGACCCTGGCCTGGGCTCGGCGTCCGTGTCTGCAAGTCAAAGAAGAAGTCAAATATTGGTTTAGTCCCCCCACCCACTCTCCCCACCTGCCCGCAGAGCTCGTGAAAGCCACGCAGTGTCCTCTTGTGTGGCAGGGGTCTAAATGCCCATTTTAAACAACTAATTTTTCGGTTTTAATCACACGGTACAATAAAGTTAGCTTTATATGCAAACACAAATGTGAACCTTTGCACGCCTTTTTTCTCACTCAATAAAAAATGTTCAGCGCAACAAGTAGAATCTTTCCATTTACAAGTAGAGGTTATTTTTTAACATTGACCGTTAAATGCTCAGAATTGTCTTAAGTGTATTGATAGGGACATGTGAATGAATAAAGCCAAATTTGAAAATGACATCGAAGGAAAACTAAAACTTAGCTCATTAAGCTATACGTTCAACATAAAATTGTACTCGAATGTATGTTAACACATTTGTACCAAACGATAGCTGAATGCAATAAATGATAGTTCTACAAACGCAATAAAATATTAAAGTCATTATAGAAAAATTACTCACCAGAGGTGGCTGTCCAGAGCAGAAGTATACCAAGACGTGCGCTAATAGTAAAACATTTAAAAAACCCATATTTATTCGGCTACGCGGCATCCGACGCAATGTTACGACTAAGAGTGAGCTCTTATTGCTTCGCGAGATTTTGGCCGTGCCCAGTGGCCAGGGCTTGTGGTGGGCTCGAAGCTCCGCCCTGTGTGACCACCAAGCGTGGATGTATATACATGAAGCTCGTTAATGAGCTGCGGTCAAACTGGGTGGCATATTACAGAGCAGTCTCCTTGGGGGTTTTAGGTGCATTTAATGCCACGGTATATTCAATGATGCAACCGCTCACGTATGATCACTGCGTGCGTGCCAAGCTCACTTCTGCGAATGAGACGATGCTAGTCTCTTCTGCGTTGTCACCTGGTGAAATAAAATGACAGAGAACAAATCCTATCAAGGATTTGTTGGGTACATTAGAAAACAAACTTTTAAAGTTTACGGGTGGGGGAAATGTGAACACATTCATGGCCAAATAGAACCTATAAATAAATGAAACCCTGTTTTTATTTTACCAGGTAAGGCCCACTGAGCTGTATAGCTAGTTTTCGGAAACGACCTGGCTATCACAAATGATAGCTCAACGAAGTGGCTCATCGTGTAGAAATGTGTAGCACCAAATACTCTAAACACATGTTGATTTTAAATGTGAAGGGAAAAACCGGAGGACCCGTAGAAAAATCCACGCGATCACGGGGAGACCATGCAAACTCCAAATATACTGGCATCCGAGTCGCGATCGAACCCACAACCTCATGTATACCCGGCGAGGTAGTTATCATTTCGCCACCGCGGCATCCATTAGAGAAAACGTTTGCCCATTAGAAATGAGAGAACATAACTAAAATCTACTTCGATGTATTTGTAGTACAACCTCAACAACTGAGGAAGGTAAGTGGCAGGATACAATAAAATTCAGCACTGCTTTTTTGGGTCAGAGTTTGTTGTTCTTGCTAATGCACAGAGGTGTTTTACGAGACGTTTTTAGAAAAAAATACCTGTGTGTATATAGAGCAACATATATTTCACACATTTCTGAGGAATATGGCAGGTGTGATGAAATGCAACTGTTTTTTATATTAATATGCATGTCTTTTTAATATTAAATATTAAAAAACTGCTTTACTCCATGCACTATATAATCCGTATAATATGGAGTTAAAAATTATGGAATGAAATACTGTTCTGTATAATTATAATTACTGTGGCCATCAGCCATTCCAAAGACCAGGTACTGTATCTCAATTGCTCAAACGATCTTTGGCATAGCACTTATCTCCAATGCTGGCCCTGAACCAGTGGGAGAAACTCCACATTCCTCTGGTGGTGCCAGTTTGTCTATAATGAAAATGTCAGAATGAAAGTCACTCTCATTGACTTTTAAAACATATCCCAGGTGTGAACAGTATGTGTGTAACCCATTTCAGTATTTTTGTTTATTTGTTTATTAAACAAATTAAGTTTGAAGTGAGCGTAAAGCATACGCATGTCTTTAACGCGTTAAGATGTCACATGAACAGAATGCGCCCGAGAAGACCACCGCCGTGGAGATGGATGCACAGGACGGAGATCAATTAGCAGGACCACGAGGGATGGTATGGACTGCCTTCATCCGGCAGTTGGGTAGACAATGGGTGATGACACAATGACTACAGTATGTCATACTGCACAGTTGAAGTATTACGTGAAAGTTCATATTAAACCAAATCCTTCTTCTTGGTTCCTTCGGTAAAGTCACGTAGAAGGGAAGTAATAAAATAATAAAAATAAAACATAATAAAATAATTATCACGCCGTTTCGGCCACTACGCAAGCAGCCGTCCTCAGGTGAAGAACAGGTCATTCTCGACAGACCTGTTCTTCACCTGAGGACGGCTGCTTGCGTTGTGGCCGAAAAGTCGTGATAATTATTTAATATTTTATTTTTATTATTTTATTATTTCCCTTCTACGTGACTTTACCGAAAGAACCAAGAAGATGAATCCCTGCAGTCACGAAAGCTTTAAATCGAAAATTAAAACCAAATCCATAAAACTATAGCAATAACGGAGACAATTTTAAACACCGCAATTTGTTTTTATTTAAAATCACAAGTTTGAGGACATAAATGTACCGCACAATGATATACCATTGCTTTGACATTGAACATACTGAATAATAAATTGTTTCTCAGAAAAATGCAATGTGAATTAAATATTTACTCCGTAAAAGGCTGCTCGTATAATTTTCACTTTTATTTTCACAGAATTCAGAGTACTAAATAATAGCACGTATTATTTATTATTTCACTTGTTTCCTCAGAAAAGCCTCACCGATACTCATGAGGTGATGTTGTTCAATGCAATGTCAATTGAGTGACAAATCATTTTTGAGCAATGGAATGTTTGGCCAATACTGTACCCGTTGTAGAGGTTTGTTTTTATCAAAGGAAACCCATCCAGAACAAACTCCACACAGCAGCTACAACATGCGTTTTTGAAATATTTTAAACTGTGGATAGTACATTTTTCGCATTGTATTGGAATGTTCTATCCTCATGCTGACGAGTACAGTACTAAATGTGATGGCGCTTTGACTGGCAGATTTGTGCCAGAAAAGCGCCACGTGTTTAATAAAAAATAAAAAATACTTTATTTGCCCGAGCTGGGAATCGAGCAGAGGACTTTCTTGCTGTGAGGCCCAAGTGTTACCAGAGCACAGGTATCCCACCAATGTGGCAAATTAAAAGCCTGGGATGGCTCCCTTTATTCTCCAATGTTATATTTTGCATTTGCATGCGAAAACGACTGGAATGTTCTGTGCACACAAATGTGAGGCTGCGAATGTAGCCGATTGTTCACGTTTAAAATCGACTTCAAACTGTAAAACTTTCGCACTACACACATTATGAATGTAAACTATTCACTGTATCGTTTTGCTTTTTAAAATACATGTATTTTTTAACACCCTTGTGTATGAAACAATTCCAAATTGGAGTGGCAAGAAAAATTCCCATTCAACAAACACGCAAAAGAAATGTGTTTATGTCGCCGAAAGAAAAGGACAATCCAGGGGTTTCCTGAAACCACTATTATTACGTTGCACTCATTCATCAATAATGATTCTTCGAGCTCACCATGAGTATTGTTTAACTATTATCGATATATTGATAATCGGGTTCGGACTTCATTGCCAACTTACATTTGTCATTGCACCCATTACTTAGCCAATGTCGCTCCGTTCAGAACCCATTACTTAGCAAATGTCGCTCCGTTCAGAATCGATAATCAAACCAAATGCAATTTTCGCAATGCTTGGACAGGATTGGCACGTGGGAAAATTTAAACTGAACAGGGCTCATCGATTACCACGTGCTACCCAACAAAGACACAAGAGGGCTGGAACTTATGTTTTTATTGTTAAGCTATTTTGATCGTCTTCATCAGCATGATCAATCCACTGCTGGACGAATGCCTCAAACTACTTTGTATTTTCTTTGTTGTCCGTCCCCTGCACCTCCGATTGGGATGATCGGCTTACGTACGGTGCAAAAGAAGTTCAACATACATTAGTAACAATGCACCTACACGCAAACTGATTTCATCGCGACATCTCCTCTCGCGTACGTTTCCTCCTGTGACTGCAGCTCGGTGTTGATTCTCCACCAGGAACCACCGTTCCTGCTAACGACGTATTTTTTTGCCCAAGCCCACTTACGTTAATTAAATCAATGTCACCGTGTATTTTTTTCGACTCCACGTGTTCTTCTGTCTCTGCGTAATTCCCAGAACGCTTTTCTGTATACTTCTATCACACTTTTTAGTGTTGTTCCATTTTCTTTGTTAACGTTCATTTCTAATACATGGCATAGCAGTTATTGCAAACTGATTAAAACAGTATTTTTTGGGCAAATTGTTACGTTGATTTTAATTGATCAAGTTCAGTTTTCAAAAAGTACTCGCACCCACTCCCATCTGACGTGTCATCATTTTGATCCCGGTCAGTCATCAATAAAGGTTTTTTTGTTCTATTTGTGTATGCCCTATGTAAATAAAGGCCGCTACATTCACCAATGTCAATTCGCAGGACCGTGCAAGATGGTGACAACTTTATATGAAAATTACATTCAACACGATTTTAAAAAAATATATTAATTCATAGCACTATCAACTTGAATTGCCACAATTTGTTGGATGGCCACGGAGGTGAATGGACACACTCCAGACAAGAAAGGAACGGTGGAGTAACGCGCGGGTCAGAGCCGCTAAGGTGACGTGACATCGTGAACATACTTCAGGGACTACATCGTTAAAGAAAAAAACGAGCACCGATGAGTAACTGGCTGTGGCAGAGCCTCTCTGTCAATCCACTGTCGGATGAAGGCCTCCCCCATGCCACGTCGGTCACGAGAGGTGTTTTGACCATACTTCACCACGCTGGGCTGGTTGGGGTATCACAGATGCAACAATTAACAGAGCGTGCCGATGTCAAAGATAAGAGCGCATGTTTTTTCGGTCACGTAGGTAAAAAATAAAATAAATGAAAACTAAATTAAATCACGACGTTTCGGGCGCAACACAGGCGTCATTCTTCAGCTGGGGACAACGTAGCGAAAGCACAACCGCTTAAGCTTGTGTTGCGCCCGAAACGTGGTGATTTAATTGAGTTGTTTTCATCTATTTTATTTTTTACCTACGTGACTTTACCGAAACAACCAAAGAGTACAAGAGCGCATGCTTTGGTGTCGCAGCAGAGAAGCCTGCAACGTCACAGCGCGCGTTGTGACGTACAATGAGCACAGCGAGCTGTGACGTCGACGAGCAGAGGCTGCGATTGCTGCGAGATCAGAGCATGCTGCGATATAATCACAGTGCACAGAACTCGCGGCACGCTCAACACTGCGACGTCAGAACGGAGAACACCGACGTCACAGAGAAGGCTGGAAAGTTTCAGAACACCGCTTTCATGCCACGGCAAAAATATCGTGCGATTTCAGCATACGCAGAGAACAGTGATATGGCACACATTTTGCTCGTCTTGTTTGTACGACTGTTTTGCGTGTTCGCTGAATAGTGACAGGAGCATTTTATGTGTATACTGTACATGAAAATAATCATTTATTAAATATGCGATTCAATGCATGTATTTGCAGCACCAGTAATTAATAGTAATCAATATATCAATCATTGCACCCATACAATCTTGGTTGTAATTTTAAAACCAGATGTTATATTCTTCTCCTTTTTGATTTAAAACACGCATTCACCTGATTGGACTATATTTTGTAATTAAAAAAAACATGATGATGCCGTTTCCTGTCAAGAAAGAAAAACACATACGACTGTTTCTTGTTTTTTTTGTGGCTTCGTATCTGGGGTCCGGTAAAAGTGTCTGGAACTGCAGCAGTAGCGCAGAGCTGTTCTGGCGCTGGAGGAGAGGGGCTGCTGGAGCGGGGGCAGCTACAGCTGGGGGTCTCCTTTAGCTCTGGAGGCAGCCCGGAGCTGGATCCAAGCCAGAGCTGGAGCCAACCCGGAGCTGGAGCCAACCCGGAGCTGGAGCCAGGCGAGAGCTGGATCCAGGCCAGAGCTTGAACCAAGCTACCAGAGCTGGAGTCATGCAAAGCTGCAGTCAGGCCAAAGCTGGATCCAAGCTGAAGCCAACACGGAGCTGGATCCAGGCCGTAGCTGGAGCCAACCCGGAGCTGCTGTCAGGCCAAAGCTGGATCCAGGCCAGAGCTGGAACCAAGCTACCAGAGCTGGAGCTAGGCTGGAGCTAGGCCAGAGCTGCAGTCAGGCCAGAGCTTGATGCAGGCCAAAGCTGGAGCCAGGCGAGAGCTGGAGCCAGGCGAGAGCTGGAGCCAGGCGAGAGCTTGATGCAGGCGAGAGCTGGAGCCAGGCGAGAGCTGGAGCCAGGCGAGAGCTGGAGTCGTGCAGGCCGGAGCACTACTCATTGTAATGAAGTACTTTGAATTTGATTACAGTCAAGCCCAACTCTAGCCTCTCCATCAACACGCTTTCCAATGCCATCGAAACGGTTTAAAATACAGAGTAGCCCAAGAACTAGTTTACCAAGATAAAGTGTAACTTGTGACGGCATTTTATGGACACTTTGTAAATTAATTTTTGGTATGTTATTGGTGTGATCCAAATCCTCACCAAACTTATCAGGAGCTCAAAGTGCCAAATGTGACTGTCTGGGGAATGCGTCAAAATTGTGCCCGCATTGTTGCAGAAACGACACCATCGTTAAGTCGAGGCTATCTGAATTAAATAAATAATGATAAATATATAAATAACAAACTGGAGCACTCATCAAGCCGCGTGCGACAGGAGACGGCATGCGCGTGTGGCACGTGATGGACTCATCCGTTGTACGGAATTAGGCGAACTTGTGTTCTTCTCTCTCCCCCCCCCCCGCTCCACACATTCATTTAACATTTATCTTAAAAATGAACGAAATAAATGCTTCAAATCAAACGTCTGTCACAATTAACTCTGCCACCTTCCACATCCACCACTGCACCTTGTCCATCCACGTCTGCTTTGTGGTGATGGTAAGCGACTCGAATTCAATAGTAAGGTAGTGTATTCGTGTTACTCAATCATAAATATGTAGTGAATGGTTACTAGCCGTTCATTCAATTGTGAGTTGTGGTTAAATGCGAGTGAAGTTAAAATGCACGCGCACAATTTTTTTCCCTCTTATTTTACGTGCCGGAAAATTTCCCCAAAATCGGAAAGAATGTCCCCCAATTAAGTCTGGTTTCGAGAGGTTTTACTGCAACTATTGACACCAAACAGTAGTAAAAATGTAAAGAGTAATATGTAATGTGTATAGCTTGGTAGACTACCTTTTGGGCCCCCTGTATATATGCTCTTAACACAACATTCGGAAACGCTGGTCACACAAGTTTATGGTGCAAACGGCGGTAGTAGCAATACATATTGCAAACGTTACACGCAGGCAGCAACATTTCATCCATATTTGTGAATTTCAGACAATGATTAAAAAAAAAATAAGAAAATGCAAACACTTTTACCTTTCAAATAATATACAGTAAAAAAATATCCAAGATGCATTTAATAACCTTCACCAAAATACAAAAAGGCCACGCTGGTTTCTAGAGACATCACTATCATTCCGTCAAGGTTTGCTTTTTGATGTATTTTCTGAAGACAAACTTCAAAATATCAATCAGGAAAAGCCAAGAGATTACGTAGATGCCCACTCCGCCGATCTTAACGAGCAGCAAAGAGCGTCGAGAAGGAATAATGCTGAAAATCAGCATGGTGCCCAGTCCGATGCGCATGCAGATGAACAACAGCACAAACACCATGTCCAGGAGGACGCCAATGGTCGCTCCGTCGTACCTGTACAAAGACAAGGGGGTGGGGGGGGACCCCCGATGTAGCCTCTACCAGACTGTGCGTGCGTTCTTGTATCACATTATACCAGTTCAGGGGTCGACAACCAAAATAACAAAAACAGTATTTGTTTTTAATTCAGTACAAAAAAAACTCAATATTTCAATAACTGCTAAGCATGTGAATGCGAGACGTTGGTGTCTAATAAGTAGCGTCACGAAGCAGGCCTGAAAGAGCCGCATGCGGCTCTGGAGGCACCGGCTGCCGACTCTGTGCTAGTTGGTCAGGCTCTGGATTACATTATTTTTTTACACACATTTCTCAAGGATGCAAACCAAACAATTTGCAGTTGGCTGAAGTGGCCTGCGGCTCAAGATTGCCGCACCTACAATGAGGTTAGTGACTCTCTTTATCAAGCCTGTTTCATTAGCCCCACCTCATAGTAATAGGTTTTTACCCTTTCAACTGGTACAAAAACTGTACCAGTTGAAAGGGTAAAACCCTATTACTATATTTTGCGACTGGTAAAGGAGATGTCTCGTAATATAGTAGCTCCACCTCGTGATAACGAGGTGAACTTTCTGTGGATATGATACCTTGTCACGAACGTACCTTCCTTCTTGCCGTAGAAACCAGCGCAACTGCAGGATAGGGTTGGTGATCTCGGTCACGAACACAACTATATTTGTCTCAGTTGCGCACACTCCCAGAGCGAGGGATATTGTCAGTCCGCAAATGCTTATTATGTGGTGAGCAATGATGACACGACTCTGAATGCTATATAATAAGCACCAGACGATGTCAAAGAGAAAATACCCGAGGCACAGAGACAACGTAGAGACTTGTAGCTCTGTATTAGGTCCACCTGTAAAGATAAAAAAAGTTCACAGCACTGTCATATCCGCTGCTTGATGAAGGCCTCTATGGGAGCCATACCACTGCTCAGTCGGATTGGTGAAGGGTTATAGAAGTCAAGACCGGTTCAACAGTCATAACTGATGTTACGTGTGGCCAGGAATCGAAGCATGTTTCCGGCTTCATGGTGCAAAAGGCTAAGAACAGCAACATCACTCTTCCCCATACAATATTGCCGTCAGTACAATATGCAGGGTTAAACGCAAAATGTATTTCTGAAAATGTATTATCACCAAAATTTTAATTTAAATACATTATTTATACATTCTTGAAGTTTCAATCATAATATATATTTTTAACTATGGATTGAATTTAGGCTCTATTAAAATCAAAAGTGAAGGAAACAAACATTCATCTATTGAGGGGTTTACCTAGTTGCACGAATAACAAGCTCAACATAAAAATTGCCGAGACGTTTCTGCAATAATCATAACAACACAGCAATTTCATGTTTTTTGCACGTGCGCGTGAGTGAAAGCTGGAGTGCATGAATAACATCCACACATATGGGAGACACTGAAATTCCAGATAACTTGCCGGGAAACTGCAGCCCCTGCTGCGACTCACTAACCCTGCCTCCAGAGTGCTTGATTGCTTGTAGTGAGCCACCACACACAGCAAAATCAACACGGGAGCCTTCAGACTAACCACGACTATGGGGAAAGCAATAGTGCGTGAACCCATCCCCTCACCCTATTCTTGTCTCTCTCACACTCCTGCCCATCCTCTACAGCCTCCCTCCAGGGTCTGGAAAAACGAATGATCATTTTGTACCGAGTGAAGCAGGAATTTTAGGCATTCATTTGAATCTTACTACAATACTATAACGAGTGTCATTTAGGAAAGGGAACTCTAGAAAGACAAAAGATTCCCCTACACCTATAAATGGACTCCATCACGCACATAAATGTAGACAGGGATATGTTTTAAAGGCTACGGAGGGTTAATAACAGAGCTAATGCAAGAACGGTGTGTGCAGCCCCTGGGATTAGAGACGAATCTGGGCATGACCCCACATGCAAGGCAGAGACATGAAGACGCAGACACAAGGAAAGTCAGATAAATACGTACATAGAGAAAAGGGGCCGAAGACACAGAGTGACGATGGCAGAGAGACCCCGAGTGAGACAAAAAAATGTGAGACGCTGAGAGTGAGAGAGAGTACAACATGGGAGGCACAGAAAAGCAGAGAAATAAAGAGACATTGGGGCACTCAGAGACAGAGACACGGAGACAGACACAGAGGCAGGTAGAGAAAGGGGCAGAGAGACACAGATAGCTGTCTCCTTGCCCTCAACCCCCTTACCCTGCCGATTACAAAGTTATGGGTTGCCGGACTTCGTACCTCGTGCCCAGCCCAGGGCAAAGTTTCAAGCACAGAGTTTAGTCTCAGCAAGGGGGAATTCATGGTTTTTTAGGGGAGGTTGCATTTGGCCAGTGGAGTAGAATTGTTAGAATGGATATGATGGCCGGGATAGCTAAAAGATGGCTCAATAGAACGTCTGTGAGCTTAGAGGAAGCAAAAATAAACGTGTGAACACAGTCACAGAATGGTTCAAGTGAAGATGATGAGAGTTGAGAAGTGAAAATTATGCGGTTGATGATGGGGCAGTAGGTGGAGGAAGTTATGTATCATTTACAATCCATTTTCATGAAATAAGGAAGCAGGTAACTGGAAAAAAATATATTTTTAACAGAACCCTCCTGGAAAGGTTTGTTTAGCAGGTTACTGTTGATCATGGATGGGCTAGTGCCATAACACTGATAAGGTATTCATGTTGTACATACTTTAACCAGGAGCGAAAGGAGCTGACTGACCTGCTCACCTATCTCCAGCGGTATCAGTTGTTGAATAAGAGGGTACCACCATAAGTGAAACATTCTTAAGTGAAAAATCAGATTACTTCTAATTTCTTTTGGCCACCATCCATCTTGCATATACTATGTTTTTATTTTTATCAAAGTATTGATGAAAGTCATGCCTATAAAATGTTAAGAGTTAATACTTGTCTAGAAATGTAAAAAAAAAAATGTAGTACAGTATATAAAACCTAAAAGACAATGTGTCTTTTCAAACAATATCTTTAAAGAGGACATTATGCAAGTCAAACACTTTTACTACTGTGTGTTATTTTAGAATTCGATCTACTGAGGTCACCGTTTCAAAGGTCAGAGCATTGAGGCAGTAACGTTGAGATCTTAATTTGGCTAAGTTCAAGCTGTGTAACTTAAACATTTCACGTTGATTGACACACAACAAATAGTTATTGCAGGACACATTAAAGGTGTGCCCATACTGTGCATAAAATAGGCTCTTAAAGTAACTTCAGAAGTCGCTATTCCGAGGCTGTTCTCTGACACAGACTGAGTCACTGCTAGCTGCTGGGATGCGAATAGGTGTCTATCTCGTGACATGATGCCAATAGCACAATTGAAATATACTTGGGGAAAAGGGGGTCACAGTATTTTGAAAAATCTGAATTAGACGAACTGTGCAGTAGACCAACGTTATTCTTGCAAACACCAACTGAGACCGTGTACCTGGATGTGTGAATGGTGAAGGCCCCGCTATGAAGCTCACATATCCCGAGAGCATGGCTATTATGCTTCCATGTAGGAGGGTGATCAGTCGACAGTTCCACTCGGTACTTCGCGTTGAAAATATCCGACACAGCACCAAATAGATGACCAACCACAAGACGGTGCTGCCAGCCACCAGGGTCCCCACGCTCGTCATTTTCAACCTGCACACAAAAAAAACAAGGATAAACAGGTGTCAGTAATTTTAACATGCAATGCAACAATTTCACGTGAATAACTTACGAGGTTACAAAACACTAACTTCTCTCTGCGTTTCCTTCACCTCTTTGTGACGTACAAAGCTACAAGGAAAATACAAAAAACTTGCATCCTGTTCAGTTGGTTCTTGTCTATTCCGGTTGCTTTCCAAAAGCTATTTCAAACAATCTCTGCAAAACTTCATTTCCCATCACCAAGTGATGAATCGGAGTCTGTAAGTCTTGACACAAAAGACAAGGCCAATCTCTTTGGCTCCTATTTTGCATCTAATTTGAATCTACGACTAAAATAAATGCCGCATTTAGTGATTCCTTATACGAATCAGACTAAACAACGAGACTTTCACAATGAATGATGTACGTCGAGTACTCTCCAAACCTAATAGGCCTGGGGCCTGTGGTCCTCATGGCACACCGGGCACTGCGCTCAACACGCGTGGCTCCACAACTGCTCTTCAAGCTGTCAATCAGCACCCACATGGTACCAAGAACGTGGACATCACCTTGAGTCCTGCCAGCCTCAAAAGAGCGACCCATCTTGCAGTAGTAATTATCGCCCCATCACCTTCACCTCATTACTATGGGAAGTGATGGAATCCATCATTAACAATCAGCTCCTCCACCACGTGGAGTCACTATCGTCCGAGTGATCACTGGTATGGATTCCGTAAAGCTCGTTATACAGGTTACCTCATGGATATCTCTGCTCGCAGCTCAAGCCTCGTACGTTTTGGCGCTTATTATCACAGCCTGTGGTCACAGGCCTTGGCATTCCGAAAGCATTTGATAGTGTCGGGGATTGTGCACTTCTAGCCAAGCTCATATAATTTGTCAACTCTTATCTCTTTATACTATCAATAATGCCGTTTGTTGATGGCCACTTGGCATTTGGAACGATAGGCAACAGTGATCAAAACTCATACAATGGTGTATTAATCCTTACGTTTAATGTATATATTTTTAATCACTTTTCTTCACTAACATGAATGTAAAAGTGAACATTCTCCCTGAGTAATAAGTTACAATATTGTCACTGCCTCTGCGTGCATGAGACTTACCTGCCAAGATTACACTTCAAGAAAAGGCTTAGTCATGACCTTGGTGTACACGTGTGCTCTATGCGGTCAGTGCACAGGCATGTCTCTCTTCAGGTAAAAATAATACATGCATCATTGCTATCACTGGACAATACTGGGTGCATTTGGACAAAACCATCCAGACCAGTTGGTCCCCGCGGGCAGGATAGCACCAGTAACGCTCCGTCAATTCAAAAACCTCAGATTACACTGATGGCAGATTGGGATTATTGTGTTAACAGTGCAGAAAAACTTTCATCACCTTCAAACTCCGTGTTAAAAAGTAGCCAACGACGTATTTTGTGTTGTAAACAAAGTGGAAATCATGGAAATATATAGATGGATTCAACATTCCACATTATGGCATGGTGATTGTCACCATTTGATTATACTTTTATTTTAAACAATATCGTTCATAAACTTATTTAGTAGCTCAGTATTGATCAAAAAATATATTAAATAACGTAATATGTTGTCAACAACTGCGGATATGGAATACGTTTGTCAAATATTTTGCCAAAATATCAAATATTATGACTAATCAAACACAGCCACGAATGGCATGCGATATTTAGCTTCACGTCGTCTGTGTCAGGCAGACCCGAGCAATCTAATCACTCACACTTTCAAACCCGAAGTGATCATATATTGAATAGATGCATGGTGTATTCATTGTAGATTCAATCGCACAAGCAGTAGAAAATATAAAACATTGAAACGCAGCATCTTTATAACCCTGCATCTGATGATTTCACGTTGTCGATTATTGCGGCTACATGAAATAAATTCTTTAATACGTTGTCGAGAATTGAGGATATAAGCGTATTAAATATATTGTCGGAAAATCACACGTATATGAGTAATCAAACGCAGCAACAAACGTCACGCCATATGAAAGGGTCGAGGTGCGCACGTAGATTAAAAGCCGTTCAGAGAATAGTTGTGGGACATTTGACAACGAAACGCCATAGAGGGTTGCACGATGAACCCACAGTGTGTAATACTTGAAGGAAGGTGGTTTGCGTGTTGCGACATGCAAGATAGGCACAACTAAGCTGTTGTCGGTATAAACGTGCTCCGCGAGAGTGAATTATGTAGTTGTTGAAATGTAAACAATGTGGAAAGTTAAACATCCAGAAAGTACAATTTTCCGCAGAAAAAAAAACCCATCGGTTAACTTACAATTCTGAAAGTTTAGACCACGGGAAAGAGTCAATTGGACATCAGTTCAGGGGCACTCTAATCACTTACAACGTGGGGCAGTAAAGTCGTCACGGGCAGAATACCAAGGATTCTAACATATGCTTGCAAATTCTGGATGTGAATGTGCACAGGAGATGTGTAATATATAGTCTGTGCTGTTGGTACCTTCAAAACATGACACTGTACGAACCCTCTTTTACCCCCAACACAATTAAGGCCCGCAACCACATGTTCAACATTGTTGAATGTTGTTATTGTCGTCTTTGAATAACCGAAACACCCACAGCAACGGTCGAGATGGGGTTTGGCGTGGGGGCAACATCGTGTTGCAATAGGGTGGTGGGTGAATTGAGTTCTTGTCTGTAATTCGGTGCGTAATCTTAAGTAAACACCAGAGACAGCCTCCAGAGTACAGCCTAAAGTACATCAGAGACAGCCTAAAGAAGGCCGGTTTATAATTGTTATCATTGCTTGCAAAAAAGTTTATGTCTGGTGTTTGAGAACATGCGAACTTGTTTGCTTGAAAAAAAGTTATCTATTTGGTGTTTGAACATCTTAACAGCTGTTTTATCATGGCTAGAAAGGATAAAACCTATTCATACTGAGTGTTTCTTTCGTTAAAGTCACGTAGGTACAACATGAATAGATCACGACGTTTCGATCGCAACACAAGTAACCGTCATCAGGTGAAACAAACTGCTGTGTTTGTTCCAAAGAACCAAAGAGTATGGATCCCTGCAGTCACGAAAGCTTCAAATCAAGATTGATAAAACATGTTATTTTTTCATACGTTGATACTGGCAAATGTCCCATTTTGTAAAGTCAACAGTGGTTTGCTGACAGAATTCAACTGTTGGCAAATTAGAAAATGACATTATCCACAAAGGGCAGACACTGTACAGCACTTGTAAATGCAATACAGAAGCACACTAATAATATTAAGACTACAGTATAAGTTTAAGAAAACAAAAGAATTACCTCGGCAACCAGTAATTTTAATAACTTGTGGGTCACTACAGTGGAAGTGACCTTACAGTCTTCACAACCGGCCTTTTTTAATGACTTACACTAATACTGACACTATTACAGTACAACGACACGTACAATAACAATAAAGTACTGATAAAGAATCAAATACCTTCACAAGCGGTGCACGGTCGTCAAAGATAAACACCAAAACAAAACTTTTTCGGCCGCCCAACTGAAAACGGTTCGCAAACAGCCAAAATCAATCGACTTTAGTCTCCAGCAGGCGAGCGACTAATGCTGCTGCTGCTGTTGTTGTTTCACAACAACGTTTAACATGTCGACCACAAGACAACTTCTACCCGACATGTAACAACAACAACAGCAGCAGCAGCATCATCCCGTCGTCAACGCAGGGCGTCGTACGTGCAACACCGATTGCGCGCTCCATCACAGACTAATCCATCGCGACCGCAAATGACCCCAGGCGCCAGATGATGATGATGATGCCATGCAAGCACGGCGTCGTTCTTCCCCACGGACCCTGCACATCCCCCCCCCCCCACACAGATGCGCAATTCGAGTTTAAATGTTGCGTATAAACACGCCGTGATGTTTGCGCCGTGAGACTTGGAACCTGATGGTACCTGTGGTTGTTGTTGCTGTTGTTGTTGTTTGTCGCGGTGGTCACAGGGATCGAGGTTCGTGGGTGGACGCGTAACGAAAGTGAGTGACAAGAACGCGAATCAAACTATTTCCGCGCGATCGGTTCGTCTATTTTGGTGACGCTAATGCAGAGTATGCTAATGCATGCCAAGTGTATGCAAATCACGAGCTCATTGTATGCAAATAAAATGTTTTAATATACCTCCCCCCAGCCAAAAACGGGGTGGATAAAAGGAGACGAATAATACATCATCATCCTACCTGTCAACCCCTTATCAGTGGCTGCCTTATTACAGATCAATTCAGACCGAATTTCTCACCCCGTGCCCCTTACAAATGTCGACGTTCATCCTACAAAGTCCCGTGATCATCACAAGGGAGCAACACAAACAAATAGACACAACATTTTGTTTGTACGCCGTATAAGCGTGACAACTCAATTCCCCTGCACAAGAATACGGGGTAACCCACATGGGTTGACAGCTCCGCATCACAGACAACAACAATAATAATCACTGCACGTGTTCCGGTGTTCGCAGATAAAGTATTGACAACATGCAGGTGTGCCAGGATACGTTTTCAGAATATGCATTTATACTGGAGGAATCCGATGAGCCGTAAAGCGCTTTCCCCCACAGATGTCCCTATTGTGTTCGTCCACAGAAGGACAACAAGGGTGAATTGAAGACAAGAATTTGAGAGACGACACCAGAGAGAGAGAGACGCAGTGGGGCTCTTGTGTCCGGCACTCACCAGCTCAGTCCGACCCGCTGAGAATCCGGCTACGGGCACCGATGCTGCCGTGGTGGGAAAAGTGCGGTGAAGATACGGGTTAATATATGACGTGTAAATCATTACAATTTACTCATTTGTGCGAGGAAAGTCACACCGAGTCGTAAGACTCTTTTTAGGGAAAGGGTTTTTATTTCACGATGTTTTCTGCCCACCGATTCGGAGTTGTGTTCGTTATTCACGCGGGAGGATACAACCCACGCACTGCGCGAGGGTGCAACACGCTATCCCCGCACGGATATCATAAACAGCTGATGGCGTATTAGCCAAGCTGTTGTACTGCCTGCCCTTGGCGAGCCAAGCTTATGGCAACTTCCTCGACGCCCACAGGAACATCTGTGTGTGATCCGTCAACCCTCGCCGCCTCCACGATGCGAGATTACAAACGTGCACAGCCACCAATTGCCTTTGCAGGCACATTCATATGGCACGTGTTGCATATCCCGTGTTGTATTGCTGTAACCAATATTACCGGGCAAAATGGGTTGTTAAAATCATGAACGCATTTCGGCGTGGAGAGGAAACGACGATCTGGATGCTCGAGGGGCCCAAACCCTCGTGTTGTGAAAGCGTGGATCGAGATTCCAGGGAGCCGGGGGCGTTGCGGCACTAGACTATTATATTATAAACAGCTGTTGTAATTTTGTGTGTTTTTATTGATATGGCATGTGACTTGAAACGTACCACCCCTCCCATCGTGTCCACTGGTATGCCCTTGTGTTGTATCTCTGGTGGTTTGAATGCAGTCAGCTGAAGCTGTAATCACGACTGGTAAACACAGACTACAAAAGTTCGTACGTTGCTTGAACGTTACTAAAACTTGAAGGTCACGCAGTAAGTAACATTTGTTGAACAGGCTTACACGACCCTGCTGATGAGACTGGGTGAAATCAAAACTGGAGGTCCAAATTTTGACTTTCTTAAACAAATGCTGCTGCAGTCGATGGGGATATTCAGTCGTCCGCCGTGGCTGGGAGATGTTGACCGCCTCGCCTGGTCTACAGGAGGTCGTGAGTTCGACCTAGACCCTGACCGCCCGCTGTATATTTGAGGAAGTGTGCGGTGTCTCTGGATTTTTTTCCTTATGGGTCCTCCCGGGTCCTCCCCTCCACGTTTAGAATCAACATCGCGCGTTTACATTATTTGGCCGCTTTAAAAGTTCCACCCGATAAGCCACTTCGTTGAGCATTCATTTGTGGCCAGGTAGCTTCTGAAAAAAAACAGCTAATGTAGCTCAGTGGGCCTTAGTTTCTTTAGTATTTAAGAAAGTATTTTACGGTATATGAATACTATAAACCCTCGCCCGTCCATTCCACTGCTACATGTGTGAAGAGAGGCAGGTAGTGGCAGGTAGTGGCAGGTCTCTCATTCCACACGCACAAATCTCTCTACAAAGTACTCACCGCAATCTCCAGGCAATGCACAATACCCATGGCGCCACGGTTTACTTGTGATACACACCGCAACACTGTGCTCCTACAATCTCCCTTCATTGTACTTTCACTTCTCATCTTCTTCACTTGAGACCATTTCGTGACTTGTGTTAACAGGTTTAATAATGACTCGCACACACCACTGCTGTACACTAACACAGTTTTTGCACTAACCACACTACCGTCACGCATTTGCCAAGAAGAGCTTTGTTTTTGTATTAAAGAGTACTTACTACTAGCTGTGCTTGGAACATTTTTTGTCCAGCGAAGGACTGTTGGGATTTCGGGGGAAAAAGCGATTCATATAAATGAATCCTCGAGTAAAATGCACACGCGACAGACATCGTGGTAACCTGAAACGTTGCCAGCAACGGCCTTCGATCTAGCGATTTGTTAACTTGAAACCAACAGTTGGAGAGGAACACTAAATCAACGTACAAGTTGCTCATTGTGAAACTTGCCGAGACCACTGTTGCAAGCGTGTGTTTCACCGCCACGTTCCATTCTGAACTCTCAACCACACGCACACACAACCACACACAACCAAAAAAACCCGGTGGCTTTTAGAAGTTCAATTCAGATGCCCGTGTAGTGTGCAAGTCCACTCACCTCCAACAGAAAGAAGGTCGTTGTCGTCTGTGTCGCGTTCAGTCACCGCGCTGTTAAAACCATTGCATCTTTTACACGATAAAACGCCAATCGTAAAAGGCGACTTCTCCTTAAGCATCACTTTCCTGGACTTTTTGACGAAGCCCGCAACGTTTCTCTCCGCGAGCTGCACAAGGCGTGTATTTAAAACTCGTTTTTCCGGTACAACCGCATCCCTTTCAATCGAGACAAAAAAAAACGTGGGGCTCGAATATACTCGCAGCCTTCGTGGTTTTTTTAAAGAGAGAAAAGCTATATAATTAAGCCGTATTATCCGCACTTTTAAAAATAAACTTGAGTTAAGGGTGTATTTTTAAATGCCGCTATCTCCTCCAATTTCTTTTGAGCTCCGAATCAAGTACAACGCTGCGTAACTCTGCTGGTCAATCCAACCAGCACGGCGAACGAACTTCCAAACAACAGCCAACAACCACCAACACAACCACCACCACCACCAACAAAAACACCACCAACTACCACTACTACCAGCAGCAACACCGCGTCGCGTCGCCGCTGGCTCCACGCTTTTGACGTTTGCCCAACTCTTGATATCGAGGCTAGAGGTCACGCGAACAAGCAAACGGTGGCGGAGATTGGCAATGAAGCTGATGGCAGACGGGGAGGAGAATGTCATGGGATTGTGGTGTTCATGCCGGGGCAAATTGAACACGCGGGTTCCAAACAACCACCCACCCACCCCCTCGAGGCTGACACCGTCAGGTTTAGGTGAAGTAGACTCTGTGGTTGTGCTATCTTCGCGATGGAATGTGGGCAGGTCGAGCATTTATCGTGGGACCTTTATTTTGTTCAAGTCAAGGTCCAAAAGGGGGAAAAAATACGTAGTCTCGTGAAGAGGGCTAGATTCGTGGGGGGAGTTGGTTCGTGGGGTGGAGTACCCAGCGACCTGAGTTCGATTTCTGGCCACGGCTAACATCAGCGGTGTTTTTTGGAGGGTGTTGTTGGTTTGTCACATGTCCGAGTTTGACCCAAGCTGGGAGTGTCTGGTCACTGCGTGAGACTTGGCAATAGGTGGCGTTATTTGTGCGGTACTCGAAGCCCCATTCGAGTCACTCTCTCTCCGCCGACAACCCACCCAGGCGACCTTCTGTTGAACCCTGCCAGTCGGAGGGAGGTCGCTCATTCTCCTCTGCTCTCAGTTACTGCCCCCCACCCCACCAAAGTCCGTGCTGGTCGACCTCCTGTCCCTCTCTTCGTGCCCAGGTTATATCGCACCTTCGATTAGCACAGTTGGCTACGTATTGTGTGAAAGAAGTTCAACATACATACAGGTTCGATACCTTTTTTTCTCTTCCTTCCTAATTTTCTGTAAATATAATATATCCACTGTTTCTATGCAGTTTTGAGATGTCACACTGAGAGACGATATAAACATCCAAGTTAGATTGTATTGGGTGATGATAACATTTATGACGCTGCAAGAATGTGATAAATGCATAATTACATCAACACAAGCCAAGGAAGTAAAGTTCAAAAAATATTCATAATTTGTTCTGTAGTGAGACCACCTTGATATGATTTCAATAAACTGTCCACTCTTAAGGCAATACATGTACTGTATAATGAAATTACCTTTAAATGTGACCATTGTACAAACGATTAATGAGTATTTTAATAACCAATGAAACGCAATTAACACTGTCAGACTAACTTGAATGGATGCATATGTTGTGCAGCAATGCAGTATGTATAGAATTCATGACTGAACATAACTCCGCAAAACACTTTATTTAGAGATCATTGCTTTTGTCCAGGATCAGCATAAAATTACACAACCCATACCGCACATGCGACTAAAAATTGGAAATACATCCACACAGTAGTAAAATTTGTTGAAAATAGCGCATTTTCAAAAGTCACACACTCAAACATTTATCCAAGCAATGTCTTCCCACCTCCGACCGCATAGCTACATATGAGTGCATTCAACCCGCATAACACAGCGAAGTTTCGGTAGAAAGAGGTTCGCCACGTATATGCAAAATTGCACAAACCGAACCCGCATGAAGGGAGGTAAATCTCCACCATAAACATCATAACAATCCAATCTCAAGAGAAATGCTTCGTTAAAACGATCGCAGAGATCAAGCACATTGTAATCTCCTGGTCTCTCTTCTACTGCTACGCTCAACAGTCGTTGCCTCCACCTCCGTTTTCTAAAATGTGATCTACATTCTTGGCTGACTCCTCTTGGCTGACTCCTCTCCAATGTGTTTTTGTTTGCCCCCACTTTGGAACTCATTCTATTTTTTTTTTATCAATGTGACAATTCCAGAAGCTTGTTAATTACTTTTTGCCAGTATGAAAATATGAAAAAAATAAGAATAGATTTTACCCTTTATGGAAATAAAACAGGTGCTAAGATCTTCTTGGTTCTTTCGGTAAAGTCGCGTAGAAGGGAAATAATAAAATAATAAAAAATAAATATATAACATAATAAAATTCTCACGTCAGACGCTGTCTTCCCGACAGGCGTGTTCTTCACCTGAGGACGGCTGCTTGCGTTGTGGCCGAAACGTCGTGAGAATTATTTTATTATGTTTTATGTTTATTTATTATTATTTTATTATTTCTCTTCTACGTGACTTTACCGAAAGAACCAAGAAAATGAATCCCTGCAGTCACGAAAGCTTTAAATCGAAAGGTGCTAAGATGTTCAAACACCAAAGAAACACATTTGCAAGGAATGTCTGCATTAATCACGCGTACTTGTGGTGAACATGCAAACAAACATGCGATATGCCCAGAAACGCATTGTCTTTGAAACTGATTGGCCCACACCAGAGGCAGCCTTCTTTAGGGCCCAGTCTAACCAGTTTCAGACCAGAGAACGCAAAAAGGCAGACGCTTACCCCGAGCTAGAAATGCTCTCTGATAGTGCCTTGTTTTTGTACTGTCCGCCTCTTGACGTTCTCTGGTCTGACACTGGTGAGACAGTTTCAAAGACAATGCGCATGTTATATGTCCGTGCGCATGTTCGCCACAAATACGTGTGATTAATGCAGACTTCATTCATTGCAAAATGTTTCTATTTGGCGTTTGAACATCTTAACACCTGTTTTGTTACCGTACATTTTTTTTCAAAATTGTTCATTCCTACCTGCCGTACCATCTCCAGTTCTCTCTGTTGCGGACCACTTTAGTGTTTAGACTAGAAACTTCTGCGTAGCTGACTGTGATTTTAAGAATTTTTTTATTTTAAATGTGTTTTTAAAAAATACATTTAAATCCGTGATTTTACACAAATACTGGATGCAAAATTGGATTTTCTCGACGCGACTATGCAGAAGGAAGTATGCACGACTGCAAATTACAGTGCATATCATTCAAATAGGTGAGGAAACATTTGGCACAAGACACAAGAATTCTGCGATCTTGCATTGCTATACGGTACGATAAAGGCGTGCGTGCCATGTATTTAACTGCATCAGTAGAAATGTTGGGTCACAGTGTTTGGACTAAACCAGACTGACTTTATCAATCGGAATGCACATAGAGACCAATTAACGACACAAATTGTAACAACTGCATAAAAGCAATAACGGTTATATTTCACTCCATACTCACTGCTCAATTCATTTTTACAGCACAAGGATTTCGGTTATCTATACTGTATAACTAAAAAAACGGCTTCAAAGAGAACACAAACAAGAATTGTAATGATTTGAATGTACCTCTGCTAACTACTGTTGTTCTCATATACCACTTAAATTAAACAAAATCGAGGGGGAAAAGCATAGGTATCTTCACCACGTGCATGAATTATAGTATTCATGTTATTCAGGGTGTCTGGGTTTATTTGAGCTGCGGGTCACGTTTGCTGCAGCCGATCTTTAAAGACATCAGTGCAGTAGCGCCATCTGCAGCTCGGTCTGTGTGTGGTGGTCTTGCATGATGGCGTGTACAATCGGTGTGGACTTTAAATCATTACGATAAGACGCCCGAGTATGGAGATGATCTTGTATTTTAAGCAAGCCTATGACTCTGGGTTGCGCGAAGGCTTGATGGAACTGCTAGGCTGTTATGGAATCCCAAGTAAGATAAGTCAGCTGCCAGAAAAACGTGTATATGATGGGACCCAGGCCTGTGTACCGATCAAAAGTAAGACATCAGATGACTTGGTGTTAGGACAGGTGGTCGACAAGGTTGTATTTTTATCTTCCGCGTTATTTTAGACTGTGCGTGACAAATCACGAACACCACTAATGGAGTTGGCACAAGAGATACCCCAGGCATCGAAGTAAGATGAGCTGTGCGGATGATGCATTAGAGTCCTCGTAGTGACAGGAATGACTGAGCATGGTAATATTAGAAGCAAATGTCTTTCTAGGTTAAACAAAATACCCAATCCCCCTTTAGAACCCGATTAGTCCAGCTAAGATGCTTACAGTGATGGATGGACCATATCCGTGCTCTATCAGTGATTTATTAATAGGGCACGGATATGGCCCATGGACTGTAGGTTCCCTACCTACCATTGTTGTAAATATAGAAATGTTTGTGGCATAGAGTATTTGAGATACACTGGACTTGTGTTTACTCTATAGCAGTGTTCTTCATTGCCTCTGACACACCCCATCATCATCGTGTCGCTGTCAAAACCCCAATGGTTTCAAATGTGTGGCGGCCCTCACACTGATGGTGTCATATCGGCAAAAGTGGCACCCCCTTTGATAATAATGAGTGAATAACACTGCTCTATAGGGATTCTGTATTTATTTAAGGCTGTAGTTGTTTATATTTGAACATGACCTCCGATGCGGGATGTACAATTCCAATACCAGCACGTGTCTTATCGGGAGGTGGTACTTTGCTCTGGGGATCAAGAAGGTGTAAATCGTAGTAGGTAAGCATCACAATCATGAACTGCTTTACTTCATTCACTGCAAAGTAGCGACCTGGGCACTGCGCAACACCAGAGCCGAAGGGTAACCAGTAGTTCTTGATTTTTCTTTCTCCAAGGTAGAAGGATGTTTTTTCGTGTCCATTTTCATCAAGGAACCGATTAAATATGAACTCCTAGATGAAAGAAAATGTCATGATCAGGTAATTTATCACTTCGGTCACAATCTATTTGCATTGGTTAGACATACAACAGGCTTGCACAGGATATATGGCGTTGTGTTTTTGTCAAATACTGGTGAAATGTGTGAAGCAATCTGCTGGGTGTTCCACAGAACACTATATCCCAAAACCACAAAGGTGCAAAAAAACGTCTGGTTTTCACAGGGTTAATGTTCTGCCCAGTGGAATATGATTCCCCCTACACAAAATAGGAACCAGTTCCCCTTGCTGGAGAGAGCGTTGTGACCACCACATCACTGTCTCTCCCTCCACGACGATACGGTGACACCTGACTCTCTCTTCTCACTCCAGCCCCTCGGTGTCTATCTTTCAAAATAACGTATCTCTTATTCCCCCCCCCCCCCCATCTTTCTGTTCTTTGATTTCTATGTCACCTGTCTCCCAGTAATTGTGCCTTCAATTATCGCTCTTGTCTTCTCACACCTATATAGTTATTATCGTTACATCTCCCCACCGTTGCCTATTCATAAATTTGCATTACGACTGCAGGTATTGTGGTCTA